TCTCCGCCTCCAAGAATACACCTTCTCGGTCGTGTATAAATCTGGTCACCTCCATCAAGATGCCGACTGCCTGTCACGGTATCCAGTGGATCCACCAGACGCCACAGAGAGAGCTACGGAGGCTTGCGTCTTATTAATATCAGACTTTCTTGATATCACTTCTGAGCAACGCCGCGACCCGGATTTACTTCCCATCATAGAAAGCCTGAGTTCCGCTACTCCACCCACTTCTCTGAACTTGTATTTCCTTCATGAAGGTGTTCTTTACCGCCACAACATGCGCCCTAATGGTCCTGACCGCCTTCTCGTCGTGCCTTCCCATTTGCGTGTAGATGTTCTTCGACAGCTTCACGATGAACCTGCCGCTGGTCACCTGGGAGTCACCCGCACTTATGATCGCGTCCGGCGCCGTTTTTTTTTGGCCACGCCTATATCGCTCTGTGCAAAAGTATGTCGCCAGCTGCGACCTTTGTCAACGTCGAAAACGACCAACATCGCTTCCAGCTGGCCTTCTTAACCCTATTGAGATCCGTGCTGAACCATTCTACCGCGTAGGGCTCGACCTTCTCGCGCCATTTCCCACTTCTGCGTCCGGGAACAAATGGGTTGCCGTGGCGACCAAGTACGTGACACGTTACGCAATCACCCGCGCTCTTCCAACCAGCTGGCTACCGATGTCGCCGACTTTCTACTACATGACATCATATTGCATCACGGCGCTCCTCGACAGCTCGTTACTGACCAAGGCCGATACTTTTTATCTCGCGTCGTCCAGGATATCGTACGTTCCTGTTCCACGAACCACAAGTTCACAACGGCATACCATCCACAAACTAATGGACTTACAGAGCGCCTGAATCGCACTATCACGGACATGTTGTCAATGTATGTTTCTCCAGACCACCGTGACTGGGACGCAACGTTACCCTACGTCACTTTCGCTTACAACTCCTCCAGACATGACACCGCAGGTTATTCCCCGTTCTACCTTCTTTATGGACGGGAATCCTCTCTGCCTCTTGATACACACCTTCCCGCTGGTTCAAGCTCCCCTGTCACATACGTCCGCGATGCCATAGAGCGAGCCGACGCATCACGACAGATTGCCCGAGAACGACTCATGCTTTCTCGAGCCTCTCAGAAAGATCGATACGATCGTCACCACCGTGAAGTTTCGTATGCACCAGGTTCTCTCGTACTCTTGTGGACCCCATGTCGTCACATCGGCCTCTCAGAAAAACTTTTATTTCGCTATGACGGACCATACAAAGTCCTTCGCAAGATTGCCAACCTCACCTACGAGATACAGCGAGTCGTCGACAAAGCGCACTCAATGCCACCACCATCCACTGTTGTGCACCTTGTAAGACTGAAGCCTTATGTGTCACCCAACACTCCCCTTTCGTGACAAGCGCCGGGTCAGCGCTTTAACGCCACGGGGTAGTGCCACAAGGCAGTAGTGTGATTGGGGCATAAAGCGGTAGAGGGTCCCTGGCTGAAAGAAAAGACTACGAGGTGGATAGAGACTGATTCCAGCCCGCCAGTGCGCCAGGCATTGTCATCGCGTGTAATCGTCGTAAATATTTGTAAATATACGTTTCCTTGTAAGATTATGGTGGTTTTGAGACGTTAAACCCCTCAAATCAATCAAACCCTCATCGCACTTTTTCCGTGCTTCAAACGAGACGACTGCAACTCACTTGCAACTCGCAACGATTCCTCGACATGCTGACCGACAAGCACACGTTTAATCATGTTCTTTTCTTTCACCGTTCTTGTAAAGGTGGCTGTCATGTGGATAATTTCACAAAATTATTCAAAGCGGTGCAACGAAGATCAGGCACGACGAGCGAATGCGTTTCCAAGCTTCGGTGCCAGTCGGTGCCACGATAAGAACACTCGGATCGTACACGTCATCGCTACTAGCGCATCGTCCCTCGGGATAGTATTTGTGGAATACATCGCACCGAACACGTAGCACTAGTGTCGATGTCGCAGGGCACTCCGATTTCCATTAAACTCTTATGCTTTGTTTGCCACCAAAATAAACTTCTACACGACGGATTCCATTCAAGTTTGGCCAAGACGACCTACACACACTGAGCAATAGCAGGAAGGGCATATCTCGATTATGAAATGTGATGTCAGTGCTCCTTTAAGCAGCCGTTCTGTTGAAAATATTTTCGTTTATTGAGAGTCTGCTGCATTTATTTGTGGAACGATTGGCCTTGCTTTGTTTTTGTGTAGAGATATAAAGCTGTGTTAGTGATGCTTTTGTTTTGTTTTTTCTTTTCTCTTTTAAAAAAAAATGCTATTTACCAGGGTTGTTCTCCCGCCACGGAAGATGGTTGTCTCCGCATTCTCTACCACCGCTAACTCAACGAGCTCAATTATGTAATTCGTATGAGACCTCTTACTGCAATTGTTTTGTGCACGTCTCCATTTCTGAGTATGCGTCCTGAGTTATGTGGCGGGATCTACAATGCACACCACTTGTAATGTAGCCGCATATAGCACAGGACAAATTACGACACGGTCTTTTTCAACTCCCGTTTACTGCCCCATAAAACACCATGTACACTCAGACATCAATATAACGAAGTATTGGTTACAACAAAGCAAATAAAAAATGGTATTGCAATAGATGTAGGGGTATAGCGAACTCATTTTGCATGTAAGATGCAACTTTGTTATAAAGAAGTTTGAGTGTATACGAATACCGCCTATTGTGGCAGAAAATTTTCCGGCAACTGCATTTGCTTCCAGCATTTGCTACCTTGTCTGTAAATTTATGTTTTGTGGTTTTATGGCGCAATCTTTTGCCTTTGCTGACAGTTAGCAGACTTGCAGAAGCTTGGCAGGTTTTGTTGTCGTCGGTCGTATGGCTGCGAACTCGAACTTCGGCTTTTTTGCACTGCTCTTGTACGACGCTTAAATCCGATCTTTTCGATGTCTGATCTTCATATTGTTTTGGACAAACTTCCCGCAACAACATGCCGAACGGCAGGCTGGGGCTAATCAGCATTGTGTGCTTTTCGGTAGTGGTTTGCACGTGGTCAAAGGGGCAGTCCAGACAGATCAGAAAAGAGCATTGCTCGCAGCTAACATTACTAAAAAAGCAGTGTTATATATAGCCGTACAACGGGCAAGGCACAGTGCTTCACGAGCATAACAAAAACATTCCTAATTTAGAAAAGATGGAAAGGAATTAAGCACACCAACACACAGAACAACAGATGTGTCACACACATATCTTATGTGCAAAATAATACTCTTTTTATTCTCGGCAAGAGCAAATTTACCCTGTACGTGAGATCTTGAAAGCAATACACTCCAATGACTTACTGCCGTCCAAGTGTCGCTGATTATAAGTAAGTTAAAAACATATACTGAAATGGAGTGGACACCTTGTATTGTGGTCATGCAAAAAAAAAATAATAAAGGGGTTTCGAAAACGACTTCAATGATATATATCTAATTCATCCACCTTCTTAAAGTAGTGGCTTTAGCATGTCACAATGCATGCAGCCTTAGACTGCAGGGGGTCAATGTTGAAGGCAATTAAAGTCTTTTATAGTATCGATAGTTGTCTGCTGGCTTCTTTTGGGCCAATGTAACATGGACTTTATCATTATTGCCTATCTTTATTATTGTAATTTTGCTATAACGGCTAGTGACAAGATTTTACGGTTCGTACAGCTGCCCATGTCACATGTCAAGGTTCTGGGGTCTTGCAGAAAGAAAACGCCGCTCTCGGAACGAACGGTCACAACAGATGCAGTCGAGCAACCAAAACACGTGTATATTTATTCAACTACTTATACAAACGACAATTTAGGCAGCCAAATCAATTACGTGTCTAGTGACATGCCAGAACAATCTTTTACAGTATTGCTAATAAACACTCGTACAAAACAAGTACTGCGAATGCGGCATAGACGACGCTCAACTCGCCGCGATGGACCCACGGGACACCATCGCAAGCGCCGCCCCAACACCAAAGAGTCTTTCTAATGTTTTCTGTGCGGCTCTTTAGTGTGCTGCTGAGTGACTCTGCTAACGCTACAGCGCAAACCGTAATAAAATAATGATGTGGAGGCGGAAATGTTGTAGGCCCGTGTACTCAGATTTGGGTGCACGTTAAAGAACCCCAGGTGATCTAAATTTCCGGAGCCCTCCACTACGGCGTCTCTCATAATCAAATAGTGGTTTTGCAACGTTAAACCCCACAAATGAATCAATAAAATAATGATGAACCCATGGGAGCACTGCCCCGCCGCCATGGTCCAGTGGCTAAGGTACTCGGCTGCTGACTCGCAGGTCGCGGGATCAAATCCTGGCTGCGGCGGCTGCATTTTTGATGGAGGCGGAAATGCTGTAGGCCCGTGTGCTCAGATTTGGGCCCACGTTAAAGTAAAGAACCCCAGGTGGTCAAAATTTCCGGAGCCCTCCACTACGGCGTCTCTCATAATCAAATAGTGGTTTTGCAACGTTAAACCCCACAAATGAATCAATAAAATAATGATGAACCCATGGGAGCACTGCCCCGCCGCCATGGTCCAGTGGCTAAGGTACTCGGCTGCTGACTCGCAGGTCGCGGGATCAAATCCTGGCTGCGGCGGCTGCATTTCCGATGGAGGCGGAAATGCTGTAGGCCCGTGTGCTCAGATTTGGGCCCACGTTAAAGTAAAGAACCCCAGGTGGTCGAAATTTCCGGAGCCCTCCACTACGGCGTCTCTCATAATCATATGGTGGTTTTGGGACGTTAACACTCACATATCAATCAATCAATTATGGGAGCACTGTGCCACCTTCCGCTCAACGGCTGTTAAACCTAAATGCGGCTTATCTGCGAGACGTGTGCGGCGCGAGGCGCAAAAGACTTCACAAAGGGTGATGGCACCCCACGAAATACTACCCAAGGCTGAAATTAAGTGGGGTCGTTGCATACACTTTCTCTGTGCGCCTGTCGTGACTTCCTTTCCCTTCTGGTCTAACAGGCTCTCTCCATCGTTCAAGCCGACGCGGAGACTATGGACACCATCGGTCACGTCACGACTATGGTCCTGGCGGCAGGTGAGTGTTTAGTTATCTTTTACACGAGGGAAGGGGGTCGGTGTTTAAAGATCGAGCTTTTTCAGTGTTTGTTGTGGGTTGACTCATAGTTTTTTTTTGTTGTTGTTTATTTCTTCCGTGGTCTTAAACTGCACAAGCTTATGCAGTTGTTTCCTCCGATTTCATATCTGTGATTACTTTTCCTGTAACTGGTCTTGTTGCTGGGATAACTTGGGTTCACCCCCCAAGGCCGCCGTAAAAAAAAAAAAAGGCTTAATTACATGTGATTTTTAAGATAAATTAGCATATACTAATAACTAGAGATTGAAAGTATGCAAGTTTTTTTTGTTTCTTGGCCTTTCTTTCTTAATTTACAGCAAAATGAACTTCGTTCTCAAGAGCAGTTGGAATTGTCTTACGATTTTGATAAATAATTAATTTAAAAGGCTTGTGATTTAAATTCTGCTCCCATACTTGCATTCTATACATGTATAGGTTCCATTGCAACAATAATTGTAGTTGTACTTTCTCTAGATGCAGAGATATTGGGGCCTCAAAATTGAGTGGTTGTAAATTTACTTGTAAAAATGGAAAAAAAACTGATAATATATAGTTTCTTCAAAAAACAGCGATCACGGTGTGCATATTTTGCAATGCTCCTGAAAGCGCTCATAAACTGGTAGCCAAGCTTTAAACACAGGTGCTGACAAATTATAATGAATCTTTGAGGTAGGCTCCCTATTTTTTGCAGGTTTTGCATTGTAGTAGCACCAAGAATCTGGACAGTCCGAATGACACTACAAAAAAATTACTGCTTCCTAATGTGTCAAAATTTGTGGAAAGGTAGAAAAATACTTGCAGAAACCAAATATGCCAATCTTAAAAAAAAGAATTATTTCGTCACCTTTCGGTCCAGCAACAAGCAAGAGAGCAAGATGCGTATCTGACCTGTAGTGTACATGTATCCCGAAGGATTACGGCCACTAGCGTGGGTCCGGCCTTAGCGAGCGCAGAGCACGCATTAACCAACGCCATGGCGAGAACACGGTACTGCTCAAGGTTGCCACACTTTATTGCCTGCAGCAACACCAAAAACGCAGTACAGAGCTCATTGCAAAGGCGTGGCGGGAAAGCAAATGGGCTTATCCATGCCACGGGCGAGAAGTACTACACAGGGGTGCCGCGAGCACGTTTCTATGGTAAATGTGATTCACAGAGACACCGGGACAAAGGCCCAGTTGCTCGAGCGAGGGCAAAGGCGCTCGCGTTGGCTTCGGAGAGATACGAGTCGGCGCAGCCTGGCCACGCACTAGCACACCGCCCCGCTCTTCAGCCTAGCGTTTGGAAGGGGGAGCGACATAAGATAAGCATTCCCCGTGGGCGTAAGGCGCTGTTGGCGAAGCCGGAACGAGCCCCAAGCAAAGGGACCCGACGGACAGAAAAGAAAAGCGTGCTTACCCCCGTGTCATCCCCGGAGAGGTCTCTCGCGCTCCCGACACGCGCACGAAACCTCTCGAGAGATTTTGCGCGCGGCGCCACAGTCAACATCTGCTATCAGGTGAGAGGGGTTAAGCGTCACTCCTCACTCTCCCAGCGCGGAGACCATGGAGGAGAGAGTAATGTCGGGACATGAGAACGGAGAAAGAGGCGGCAAAGCCCACGCAAAGGCAGCGGGCTAGCCTCAATTCCCACATACCTAACCACAGAAAAAACGGACAAACAAACTCTAAAATGACAAACTGGATTGACGTCAGGCTGGTTTGTGCGGAAGCGCTAGCGTTTGTCTTTTCTTTGTCTGTTTTGTATGTGCGGCGATTTTAACGTCACACCGAGCTGACTTCGAGTGTAGCTTGGTTTGCAGTTTGGCTGTGGCAGCCATTGTATGGATACTTGGCCGACTGAAGCAGAAAAATGGCTATTACATGTTGCCAAAACACACAGCCTGCGAAATTGTCAATCGTAATTTCTGCATTGATGCTTACATTGGCACGATCTCTAGCCATAGCTGGAGCAACTGTGCAACTTTCCAGGGCTGGCAATATAGTGAAAAGATTGTGAACATCACTGTAGCATAGCATCGTGAACAGCTGGTCATGGTGTTTGATACCGCACTCAATAAGCCAGCCGGAGTCCCCTAATCAAACGGCGCAATCTGAAGCGTTCGAATTTTCGTCTGCAAGTTTACACTACTTCAGTGGGACAAGTGGCGTTTCCGCGAAGATGTCTGAATCAACGGACATGTCTGAATTTTCAGCGTCCGAACGAACGCTCGGCGACTGTGTATTTACACTGAAGCTGTATAGGCTAAGAGGTTGAAGAATCTGTTGGTCCATGAGTACGCTAATGCTAGCATGCGCTGCTTCAAAGCTTCTCTCTGTTTGCACGAGTTTTCCTTCAGGTTTACCATATTTTCTCGAGTAATCCTCGCACTCGCACAATCCTCGCACCCCCCACATCGCCCAACAAAAATACGGATTCTTTTTTTCCTCGAGTAATTATCGCACCCCCGAAAACTGCTGCAGTAATGTCGTCTGCTCTCTCCAGCCACTGATGGTAGCGCACGTCATCTGGCGCCATCTCTTAAGCATCAAGCGTACTATTGCACAGAGATTCAATCCAACTCAAGCCAAGCCGAAGTGGCCAGTGCGTGTTGCGGCGTGTTTTGTATGTTGCGTCGGTAACCTTGTCAAGTTATGAGGCGATACTGAAGCTGTACAACTGCTTTCGAGTTGCAAGTTATAGATAATGCACTAAAGAACGACAACAGGGCCGCCGGTAGGCCTTTCGGAGTTTACGAGTTTTGTGTTCGCTACTGGTGATGGCTGCTGAAAGCCACCAAGACGCATTGGGCCTGCCGTGTGCCTAAAACTGGGATTGATGGTAAACTTTATTTCCTAAGAAGGAAACTGCAGACAATTATGTTAAATAGCCATCAGCCCAATACTGACGTCCCACGCTTACCTTTTGAGGGCTCCTGTTGAGCGACGAATGCTACCGCTACGCCCGCAACATCCGCAAGCTTTGCGTATGGTATTCTAATTCTCGACTACTTGCTTCCACTTTTTGTGTCTCAATTAAATCTTATCTTCTGTAGAACCTCTGCTTTTATTGTTGAGGTAAGTTTTAATTAGTACTTCTTAAAGCTTGCTGTGAGTTGCTGGTGTGAGAATCACGATTGGCGGCCACTTCGTTTTCTTTTTCGCTCTGTACGTTTTCGTAGAAAGTTTTCCCTCGCGTAATTTTCACACCTCCCAACTTTTCATCGGTTTTCCGGCTAAAAAAGTGCGAGGATTATGCGAGTAAATACGGTAGTCAATACAGCTAGGCATGAAACCTGTCGCAACATGAATTTCTACCCATGAAATCATTTAGGCCTCCTTAATATTGTGGCAGTGCAATGCGAACAAAAGATGACAGCAGCTTACGGCAGCGAAAAGAGCGTATTCAGGATCAGCTGTACAGCAAGACGCCTGCTTCGTTGTCGTCGGCGCAGCCCGGCCAATTATTCAATAGTTGTTGAATAATTGGCCTCAGCGCGTGTTAGCGTCCTGCTTGTGTAGGTGATCACTCGTTCCGTGTCTTCTTGCCACTGCACAAGCACAGCTCCGAGGCCTACATTGCTTGCGTCTTTGAATTAATGTCACTAAGCACAAAGTCTGCAACTTGGATCTCCTAAATGCGGTGACAAGAGAAATTAATAGCTATAGCAGAAGACACTTCCAATAGATCCCAGCTTGGTGTAAACACCAGGGTCGCACGTTTCAGCGTCGCTGGTTAACCACCTGTACAGAGTAGGCAGGGATTTTTGTCTACGCTATCTGCACCCGTTAAGAAATTTTATTGATCTAACTTTGCATTAACCACAGTGATCAAGATTTTGTTCTGCTTGATAAATCTCTGCTTCCAAGCCCAATTTTTTAAACCGTTTGCCCGTCTCTTTCCGTGGCAGTCTACGGTCGGGTAACGACTACCGCTCAGGTGGCTATCCCCCATACGGAGGGGGAGGTGGTGGAATGAGCGGAGGCAACGGTGGAGGTAGTTACCCTCCACCCCCGCTGCACCTGCCACCACCTCCGCAGGGACACCATTTGGCACCGCCCAACTTGCCACCACCCCCGTTCCCTGGGCAGGCACCACCCCCTGGTGAGTTACCTGTTATCTTTTGTCGGGCACTTAAAGAATAATTGCTGCAGTTGGCACTTGGGAGTGTGGGGGTGCTATCACCCCCGGTAAGGTCGTTTGTGCCTCGTGGTACACACATGTTGCGCGCATAGGCCGGATTTAGGGCTCACAGCTATCAAGTAGTAGGTGGCGTTGTGCTTGCGAGCGTTTATCACCACCACCATCATCATCATCATGGTTAGCGCGGTAGCACCAGCGGTGAGGCTGGCTGGCGGCACATAAGGTATGAGTGGTTCTCTTTCGCATGTGGCGGTTTGCGCCAACGATTGTCTCCTGCGGTGGGTCCATAGGTAAATCGCACCAAGGGTCGTCTGCCTTGGGCCCTCGCGGCGAGTCTGGCGTTGGTGGCGCCGCCTTTGCGCTACTATGTGTTTGTTCCTATGTTTGATTGAGTGTATTGGAATATTGTGTAATATTGTTTTAGCGTGTTGACTGATGATTCAACTGACGATATCATCGTTGTAAAAGCAGTTAAATAAATGTGTTGTTTGGTTTGGTTCGACCATGTCTTCTGTGTCCGCTCGCTCTGAGAGTGCGTGCTTCATATCGAGACCCCACAGGAGGGATAATATTTGAACATCCAGTTGTGGACATTGCCCAGTTAAGCTTGTCAGGACTTGGAACACTCAAACTTCAATGTAACAAACACGGATATAACAGAATATTGGTTATAACGAAGTAAATGAAAAATAGGCTTGCACTACATACAGCGTTAGAAATAATCTATAATGAATTTTCGGATATGACAAACTTATTTTCTTATATTGAGGTGTGAGTGTAGATACTCAAAGAAAATGAATATTATTAATGTAAATGTGCACGATGCACCAAGGATATTGAGTGTTTAACGACAAAAAGATATAGTAATGTAAAGGCCAGGTCTGCACTGAACTCGTAGCACAGTTGCAGCATAGTCTGGAGAAGTACCCCTTCTCGGGCCTTTTGTGAAGCTCTGGGGTTGACTACTGCATATACAGTTGCTGGGTACCCACTACATGCCTGTAAGGCAATATGTGCATCTACATTGCTGCACATTTTCTTGATAAGGATGAATTATCGTAGAGCCCTCTGTAATGGTTGGGAAGCTTCACCAATTCTCACGTATGAGAAAATGAGGCATTGCAATGTCCACAGCTTTTGCTGGCTGATTCTGGTTTCTAAGTGAGGTTAGGGAGAGAATGTTTGCTGATTAGACCTAATTGTCCAGGTTTGGCTGGAATAAACGTGGTCCCTCCACACTTCCCTGTGCCACCGGGAGCCGGCTACATCCCTCCAGCCAAGCCATTTGGACCAGGAGAGGAGTACCACGGCAGGCGGAGGTGAGTGCAGTGGCTTGTCAAGGTGTGCTTTTCGCAGTCATTCCAGTTCACAATAGACTGCATTGAGCTATTGGTCACCGGTAATAATGTCCCCGAAGTACCGTGATTATATCTTGTCTGCAGAATAGGCCAGCGGGTGACTTGATGGTTAGCATTGTGCAATACGAACCAACAAAGGATGGCGTAACAGATGAGGGCTCGTCTGTTGTTCCTTCATCTTTGTCCTGTGTGGTTTTCACTCGGTAGTTCTGAGTGTGGATAACCATCACACTTGGAATTCGGAGTGTGACAAGTTTGTGAAACCAATCCTCCTGCTCTTTCTTGTCTCTGAAAGCTGTGCCACCTCAGTGCTTTACACAATTTTCGTGGGTCACTCGTGTTGCGATCCAGCCAATACGAAGATGCACCTCTCGGGCGCTAATTACCCGTTGTACGCACTCCCATCTGTATTTGAATACAAGTCTTTTTGTGGTGAAGAGTGGCTTGGTGACATGCTAGAATCTATTGGTTGATTAGTGGCAGGGAAGGTAGACTGCTCATAATTTCCTCACGAGTAAGAATAGTGTGCACACTTAATAATCCTTTATGTGAGTGAGTGCGCTTGCTTGATCTGTGGCGAAGTGTCCTGTTGCCCCTAAAGTGTACCACTAACGAAAACCAACCTTTGGTGCTACCCCCCTCGCAGCCGCAGTCGGCGTGCGGGCGACCCCCTGGAGGAGTTTGAGAAGCACCTGCGTGACCTGCACCGCAACCGGCATCGTGAACGGCGAAGCAACCGCTCGCACTCCAAGACGCGGTCCCGCTCCCGCTCGTCGTCCTATGGCCGGTCGCGCTCCAAGTCGCGCGGGGGCCGCAGCAGCGCTGCCTCCCGGTCCTGTTCACCCCGCTCGCCCCACTCGCGCTACAGTGGCAGTTCACGATCCTACTCGCCACACTCCAGGTCGTACACGCCAAGGTCACGGTCAAGGTCCTTCTCGAGGTCCCGGTCAAGGTCACGATCACCTGCAAGACACCGCCGGTCACGGTCACCACGGAGCCCTGGAGGCAGTGATGGACGCCGGCGGGCAGGATCAAAGAGTCCCCACGGACGCCGCTCACGAAGTGGAAGCTACAGGTACTGTGGCTGTTGCCCAGTCTATGTGGTTAGTCTTGATTGCCACACACACTTCTTTTCTACTGTCATGTAACTGCCCTGTCAAATATGCAACCACTGCTGCGCGCGTGCCGTGCCTCGGATGTATTTGCCGGTCTTGCTGCAGCCTTTGCCATCACAGCCAAGTGGCAATATGATTGCAATGAGAAACCTGTTGGTTGGTTTGCTTAGGGTTTAACTTCAGTACATCCATGCATCATTCTAATGATATTCTTCTGTACAAACCAATGGCATGTGCTTGCCAAACCTTCGCTGAAATCGTGTGCTGTTTAAAAAAAAATTGAAGCAGACAAACAAGAATGCACCCGCATGTTGTGAGCAGTGGCTGATGCGCCCAACAAGCTTCGTGCACCCATTTATTTGGCAAGCTTTGTTCATAGGTTGAATACAATACTGAGGTATTCTATTTTATAATATTGATGTTTTACTGCAAGAAATGCAGTGCATGGGACATTGCTTACAACAGAAGTTACCACTGTTTCGAGTGTTGTCATAGTTGTGGCTGGCACTTGTTCTGGGAGCCCACATATAGGATAGTAGTACTACCAGGTAGCACGATGTTGCAGCATGGAGACAATGGAACGCTGAGCTTTCCTTGTTTACTTTTTATGTCCCTTGGGGATAGTGGAAAAAATTCCAGTATGTGATTCAGTGCAACATGTGTTGCCTACTGAGTTCTGACTGAACCTGCTGTTTTACGTTTGCAGGTCGCGCTCCAGGTCTCCCAGCCGAGCCACACGGCGCACACGGCATCACTACCACAGTGGCAGCCACGGGAGCGGCCGTACATATCGCCGCTCCCGCACCCCTCGCTCACCCCGATCCTATCACCACCACCCACTACCGCCGCCTCTGCCGCACCACTTGGGGCCTCCGCCTCACAGCTACAGAGGCCGCTCACCATCGTTTCGTGCAGCTCGACGTGGCTTCTATGGTGGGCCACCTGGCGGCTACCCACACCACCCCGGCTACCCGCACCATCCCTCAGAGCACATGGTACCACCGGTTGAGTTTGACGGCCGTGGTGGGCACTATTATCCGCCGCATCACCTTCGTGACGGTGTCGCCGGTCCCTATCGTGGCTACCCTCCTGGCTACCCTCCAGGGGCATTACCTGCCCCATCACACCGAGGCGATGGCCGTGGTGGTGATCGTTACGAGGGCGTCGTACCGCCCGGCCCCATGGGGATGCCTGCCCGAGCGTATCCCGGCGATCCCGGGAGCAGGAGAGAAAGGTCTCGAGATTACGTGCCCCCACCTGAAGTGGGTTCAGAGCGATCTCCCAAGAGAAGCCGGGAGAGTCGGTCCCGCGAGCGTCACCGGCATGCGGATGCCATCACGACGCCCCTGGTTGTGTTGAGAGAGGAAGGCAAGGATGATGCACGTCTTGAGGGGGAAGGTGCCGTCAAGAGCCGCAAGAGGTCCAAGGATAAGGAGGAAAAACTGCTTCGACACAAGCACCATCACAAGACCAAGGAGTCTAGAAAAGAGTCCAAAGAACGGGCCGCCATTCAGGAGGGTGTTGTCAAGAAGTCATCCAAGGCCCCTCTGGCAGTCCCGCCAGAAGGAGAAAAGCAAGCCACAGAAATTAAAGCCGAGGAGTTGCCCACCTCTGCGAAAGAGTTAGGCAAGATAGTCCGGGAGGGGGTGAAGGCAGAAGGCGAAGAGACTCTTTCAGAAGGTGCTGGAGTAGTTGTCAAGGAACGCAAGCACAAGCACAAGAAGAAGCTGAAGCAAGAGGAGGCGCTTAGAAAAATGGCCGCCAAGATGGCTTCCCGCACATCAGACGATTCTAGCCAACAGCTGCCCGGTGCTGATGAGGAGCCGATCAAGCGCAAAAAGAAGAAAAAGAAACTGCGGGAGGCAAGGCTGCTGATGAAGTCGCTGCCACTGACATCTTCGGATCTGATCCGCGAGCAGTCAATGGTGGCCTTTTTGACGGCCGAGCTTGAGCAAGGTGTCCCAGATGCTGCCCGACTGTCCAAGATAGAGGAACAGCTAGAGCTGGCCAAGAAGAAGTTGCTGAGCGATGAGAGAGAGGATACCAAGGGCGACGTGGCAACGCCAGAGGAATCCAGAGCGCATGCGGGAGCAACACCGGGCACAGTGGACACAATCTGGGACAAAACCGAGCTCGAGCCGGAGCAAAAGGAAGACACCGCTGCACCCAAGGAGGAAGAAAACGTGCTCCAGGTGGAGGTGCCCGAGCTCTCCAAATGGGAAAGGGAAGAACTCGAAGAGGGGGAGTCTTCACCCTCGCCAATCGAGCAGGTTGAGGAAGCCAAAGACACCAAACCCGTGCTTTCTTCAGAAGTGCTTCAACGTGCTGAGAATGTGCTGCTGCACAAGCCGCGGAAGAAGGCCATGGTGGCTGTTGCAGCAGCCACTGTCGCACTTGCCAGGCCGGCAACTGCACCGGAGCTGAAGAAGCTTTCGTCGAAAGTGACTTCACCGGACGACTCTCGGCCAGTGCCGGCGGAAGATTCGTCATCACAGTCTAGCATACGTGAAGTGAAAGAAGGCTGGAGGGACCCATCGGTGCCACTGAGGCTGAGAGACAGGCTGGACGGCACCTTGCAAGTCACGATTACTGCCTCCTCTGAGAAAGAAAGGCGATCCGTTACTACGTCCGATAAAGAGCAGCGTGGAAGCTCATCAGAAGGTACGCAGCATACCAAGCGGATCAAGCTCGATAGGTCCAAATTTGGGGAGAAGCACAGCCGTGGTGAAGGTGGCGAGGCCAGCGACAGCGCGAAGCCATCGAAATCTAGCAATCGTCGCGACGATCGTAGTGGAGGCCGGGTGGACGACCGCCCTTCTTCGGAACATGGACGACGATTTCCACCAGAGGACATCAGGTCAAGGCTGGAAGAACGCAGAGCATTGGAGGCGGGGGGCCATAGTCGAGTACTTCCACCTGCTAGGAGCGACCGTGACCTTTCCCGATCTTCGAGGTCTGGCAGGCCTCGGGAAAAAGAGTCGTCTCACCGATCGAGCAGCCGAGACATGCATTCCGAGGAACGAAGACGCCACAAGGAAGAGCGATATTACGCTGCCATGATGGAGGAGCGAGCTAGGAGAGCATACGAGGAGGCCCACTACAAACGATTGGAGGTTGAGATGTCGCACAGCAGGCGCAAGGCACCGGAGGAGCACCGCTCCCGCCATGCTGCAGAAGACATCGAGCGGCTCCGATCTCACGAAAGACGTGGAGAAGCTCCACGCTTGCGGAGTAAAAGCGCGGACCGGGGCAGTGGAGAGGACCATTACCGGTCTCGCCGGGGGGAATGGTCTGGCGATCAATTGGCCACAGCTGGCTCTGTGGTGTCCCAACCGTCGCGGCGGTCAAGAAGCAGGGATAGAGGCGAACGCTCTCCGCGTCACCAGCGACACCGCAAGGAGAAGGCATCACACGTTGCAGTGTCCTCTACGGCGAGTGTGTCGGCAGCTGGAGGCAGCACGGCCAGTGGCCAGGAGATCCGAGCGACATCATCGACAGCGGCAAAGCAGACGGAAAGGAAGTTGTTGCCGACGTCGGCATCCCTGGAGACACTGCGGCACCGGAAGGAGTCAACACAGGACGAGTCGCGCTTCGAGCCTGACTACGATGAGATGATTGAGGACGAGCCAGGTTCTGGTGGCACTGCTGACCCTGCCCTGTCGCAAGGGGCCAGGGTTGCCAGCACCAAGCGCAGGGCAGTTGCGGTCATCGATACGCTAGCCGGTAAGAAGTCGCGGCTGGCCGAGGAGGAGGCGTTGACACCCACAAAGCCGGATGCGAGCCCAACTACATCGACGGCTCCGGCGGCGTCTACCGTAGTGGCTTTGGCAGCACCAACAGTGTCGGCAGACGAAGACCGGACGAGCAGCTCCTCATCGGACTCCAGTGACGATGAGGTCACCTCTCACAAAAAGCACAAGAAGAAGCACAAGAAGCATAAGAAACACAAGCACAAGCACAAGAAGAAGAAGAAATCTAAGAAGGCTGAGAAGTCGGACTAGGAGACACAGAACCCTTCATTTCTTGCATTGCTCATTTCCTTCCATGTTTTACTCATCGTCATCTGTGTTTATAGTTCTTACTTTGTTTCCTCAACCATTGTTTGCTCATTGAGGAAGTCCCTTGGCTGTCGTTGCATTGTAAGTACCTCAGAGAGGACTTTCGATCCCTCGTATTGTAGGCATTGCTGAAATGGTGTTGCGGGCATTCGAAACTGTATTTGTTCATTTAAATACTATACAAAGAGACTACCTTACTGTTGTTAAGTACTTACTTGTAAAAGCGACATGGCCTCGCGATTGAGTTGGATGCATTGTAACATCTCTGGGTTGGAAGCGTTGGCCCAGGTATAACTTGTGCTACCGGTGTGCAGCACACCTAAGCGTACTCTGATCGACAACTGGTGGGACAATTTCCGAGGGTATGCATGTCAGTTTTCGTGATGGTATGAATTGTGCAACAGGAACGGTATAGGCGAGTCCTAGGTAAGACTAGATAGCGCCCAACTTTCTTTAGTGTGGATATCCCGAACTCAGCATCGCACTCATTAGTGCGACTTTGTCGTGGTTAGCCATGTTTCGGCCTCATACTTTTCCCAATGTTGCATGTGCACTGTCTGCTCTTTGAACTTGAGCTGATAGGTGTGTCGACGTTTTTTTTTTTTTTTTTTAAGTCTTTGTGTTGATGAGGGCCTTGAGCCCTGTGTCTAGTGATGGCTTGACGCAGCAGTTTGTAAATTTGTATCAACTGATGCCAATAATGCGAGTGTGCGCCTCCTCCGCTGTGTCTCGCTAAATGACCAAATATGGGTGACTGTGTTTTTTTGTCTCTGCAGTGATACAGTGCATCTTTTAAGTCCTTGTGTGCTGTCTGTAAATAGTTTTCTTGTGTATGAAATAAAAAAAAATAGAGCTTATTTTCAAGAAGACGAGTCTGTTGGCATTACTTTTATGAGCAGCTGCTGGACCTGTAATGCTATTTCTCTTTAGCACATTCTAAAACCACGTTGCCTCAAGTGTGCTCACTGGGACGAAAGGAGAAAACAAATGTGTGTGACAAATCCTATCAACATTTTTCTATGCAATCATCAAATGACCTCACTTTTGGAGTTTTTCTGCCTCACGAAGGATTGCCACAAAAATTTTTTGAACCCATTGAGCATGGGCATAAGGGATATGTCGCATGATTTTGCTTTTTTCTTTCATCTCACTGAGCACGATGAACTTAGTTCAGAAAGAGTTGCTAGACCCAATTATGCTTGCATACGCTGCTTAACATGCGCAGCTAAAGGTCAACGGCTGCTATAAAATTTTAGATAGCTTGAAAAGACTACTTTTAGGAAGTGTCACAATTGCGACCTTGTAAAATCTGACATTTGAAGTATGAGTGATAATGAACGAAATATTTCTTTGCTATTTATATTGATTAGAATACTGTCAATCTGTATTTGAGACCTTAGGCAAGGGTAGGTTATAAGTCGTTAGAAATCGATAAAAAGAATCTATGCATTATACCTATACAAGGTGCCGATTTCTACAAAACGTCGTTTAGTGTATGCATGAAGAGGAATGTTACAAATGAGCATTAGAACAAGCATTGAATCATAGTAGAAAAGGGGAAAAAAAAGATACCGCTTGCAAAGTAGACACAGCAATACAGCTAATATTACAATAAAAAGCCTAGTAACTAGATATATGCTCATACATGTGACAAAGGCATTGAGGTTTGTGAACTACGTCACAGCTGTACGTTACAGACTGAAAGGCCTGTAGATGGCAATGGGTGGTCACCTACAGCCGAGGGGAGTGAATTCCAATTGCATGCAGTCCGCGAGGAAGAAAGTACTGAAATGTGTTGCGGTTACAAGGGTTAACTCTGTTACTTTTTTTGGTCTGATGGGACTGAGTAGGCTATCGGTGGGCGTCTTTCAGACAGGTGCCCTTTCTAATTCATCACTCCAGCAATTCATGCGGACCTAGTGGCAGTATAGGGAAGCTGCGTACTGAGGTCCAAACAGTCCAAGCGCCAGTCGTATATGGTAGGAGCATGGTAGGATGGTGCCGCCGGTGAAGAAAAATGAACGGCCAAGCAGATTCTTTCTTTCTAGGTGAGGCACCAGTGTTAATTTGTTCACTCGAACCTATTAAATGAACATCGTATCCAGTGAATACATGGCGCTACGGCACCCGATGTAAACAAACTTTGCAGACACACGGTGCGCCATGTGCATTACACACACAACGCGACCACTTCAAAAATGTCGCTCGCGCTTGCGGTACCACTGGTGCCGACTAAAATAAGATGCTTCGCATGAACAACCCACTCCCCGTCTCCAAAGCAGCGCAAACTGCAATCGCACTGCAGGAAACTCAATAATTGTGTTAGCGACAGCGGACGCATTGACCTCTGTGAATCCGCCATGCTGCAACTCCGCAGCGCCCTCTCATGTTCATTTGAGTTGCGTATACCTAACTGTCCATCGTAAAGGAAATGAAAGAGTTTCATTCGCTCGTGGTATCGTAGAGTTCCTAGTTTCTTGGTCTGAGCTTTTTCTTGTAGAGTTGTAGATGATGCCTGCCAGCTGTATTCAATATTTTTCAATATTGAAACATTGCTGAAAAAATCCTGAAATTGATGAAGACTCCTCTGTTTGTACTTGTCAAGAGAAACTGGACAAAGCTGTTGCCTACAACACATGATGTCTAAAATGAGGCAGGACACCATTGCAGAAACAGCTTTACAAAGCTGCCACGACCAAAGAAGTTGAATTATCCTCTCGTAGATAAGAAGGGTAAAGTGTGGCTAAATGTACTCTGTCGGAGCTCCGGGCACAATAAATGTGCACAGAATTTTGTGTATCTTCTTTGGCTCGTTACATTGAACAAGCCACTAATCAAGCTAGAAAATTTGTCACTGTGGCATGTTTGTTTCATTTGAAGTAATGAATAGAGGCAATCCTGCAATCTCAAAATTGAAGTTGGGTATGCACACCATGTGAAGTGCAGAACTGCATATTTTCTTTCAAATGAAATGATTATTTTGTGCTCAAAAGTTCACGAATGAATTGGTCGCAAAAAGTTGAATAATGTTGACACATTAAGAATAGAGTGCACAGGGCACGGTGCATATTGTGTGCACTCCTTTTTCTTGTGCATACCGCATTAAAAAGAAAAGGGACTGGTGGTAAAGATTTATCCAGTGTTACTTGCTACAAGATTGCATGACTTCAGACCTGTTCAAATTGTAATTGTGCAAGAAGCTAAGCCCAGTTTCGTTGCTGTACGAAAAGTACACCACCAGGTCGACAAAAGAAAGTGGACTATATTGCCACGTTCCATTTCCCAAGTTTTTGTTATCGTCCCAAAGCACGACAAGATTCTCAGAAAAAAAAAAAAAAACACTGTTTCACTTTGTTAACGCGCATGAAACGGCTTGAGGCGCGCGACATGGACGACTTCAGGTCGCGATCGGCGTCGTTGAGAGTTCGTGATGCCGTCGGGGACAACCTCGTAATCAAGTGGGCCGAGACGTCGAACCACCATGTGCGGTCCGAAGTAGCGTCGCAGAAGCTTTTCACTTAGTCCACGTCGGCGTATCGGCCCACTTGATTACGAGGTTGTCCCCGACGGCATCACGAACTCTCAACGACGCCGATCGCGACCTGAAGTCGTCCATGTCGCGCGCCTCAAGCCGTTTCATGCGCGTTAACAAAGTGAAACAGTGTTTTTTTTTTTTTTTTCTGAGAATCGTGTTGTGCTTTGGGACGATAACAAAAACTTGGGAAATGGAACGTGGCAATATGCACTGCTAACAGCTGTATTTCTTAGCAGTTTGAGAAGTACTTTTTGCTTAGAAGCTGTAAATAAATTATTGAACAATGTGTGTTGCGTGATGCAGTAGCTGTCAATTCAACGACTTAATGCATTGTTTTCAGGACAGATGCACCAGAGCATGTCTTACATTTTGTTGTGAACCTTGACTTTTAAACGCGAGTTGCAATGCTGTCTGTCTAAGACATGCACCAGGACGCGAAGTTAACAGGTGTGTTGGAGCTCTTGCTGATCCTGCAAATGAAGTAGGTGTGTATGTTTGAGGGCAACATTCAAACTTGCCTGATTTTCAACTGTACCATGTTTAAAAAAAAAAAGAATTTTTTTTTCAAAAGTCTGTTCAATAATGTGCTACAGACTATTAAGATCTAAAAGCAGCAGGAAGGATTCGCCAACATTAATGGTAAACTTAAATGAATTTGACTAGAAAATTTTCAACAATTGAACCCTCGCTAGTTATGATTTTTTCCCCCCTAAGTTTCACTTGCATGGATCACTGCATGCACACATGCGTGGCTCCCGCCAAGGGCAATTTTCTCCCGCCAAAACAATTTATGCGGTAGGCAAATTGCTCAGCTAGGGGTGGGTGAAGGAATCGCTCAAGCTGCAAGACAACACTGCAAATAGCTTATGTTTTTTTCTAGAGTACAATATCGAGCATTCATTGATACCCCTGTGAACTCAACCTGGGTCTACAATTACAACGCCGGATATGAGTATGTAGCTCTACAATAAATACCGACTAATATAACGAACATTTTTGTGATTCAATTGACGCCACACACCGTCCACGCACCAACAAGCGCAGTTGAGGCACACAATGGATGGAGGAAATAATCTTTCCCTACTCATTGATCCACATCATGAAGTGCAAACGAGGCGAGAAAGCGCTGCAAAACCCCCGCATTCCTTTCGTGCATTTTATTTTATTGGTATTGCTTTGCATTATGATTCCGTAGTCTGTCAGGTCTATCGCCCAATGCCTCGGACTAGAGGGGGTTTGAGCCCGCGATGTCATACAGTTACATACAGAGTTTCATACAATTCATACATTGTATGAAACTGTATGAAACTCTGTATGAAACTCTATGGCCCACGGAGGAAGGACCTCCATGCTATGGCCGATGTTTTTGTTGTTGTTCTATTGCTAGTGGCGTATACCCACTGTGGGGGATTGGCCAAGAATCGAGTGGTTTTAAAACTTACTGCTCAGATTTGGAATCATGGAGGTATAACAGAAAGATTACCGATAGATTAGGAAAGTGTGGTGCTTAATGTAATGCATACAAATATCTACATAGAGCTTCATCGATTTACCAAGTCCCGGATCACTCGTGGACGGCCCGCGGACGCCTTGGCTCACTTGTGGTTACGTCACATGCACGTGATCTAAATGTCCCGAGCCAGCCCGAGCGGCCTCGGGCCATCTGCGCGCTTGATGCTGACTGACCCGCTGTGGCGTCTGCTATGCCTGGCTATGCCGTCTGCTCCCTCCATAACTGAAACACAGGCCACAACGCTGACTCATTTGCAAACTAAACAGCAGTTAGGTAGTGAATTATACCTATTTCTGTTGTGATGCAACTTACTGTAAGTGAACTACTCGAGCGCGTGCGCATCGTAGATCGGGGCGCGGTCGTTCCACCGCTGTTTCTCCTAGCGAGTATAACGCGTGTTTGCCCGACCTTCGGGAATACGCAAATGCTCGACGTGGCTCAGAACACCGATGGCAAGAACTGGGTGCGCTAACAATGCGAAATCCAGAAACATGCGAGAAGCGGGCAAAACTAAAGAGAGAGCAAGAACGCATCGAAAGTTTTCCGCGTCTAACTTAAGATGGCCGCACAGCATGCGCACCGCGCTGTCGTCTGCCAGCTGTCCGAAAGAAATTGTTCGGGCGGTCCCGGGCCGCCCCCAGGCCGCGAAGCACGCGAAAAACGAGCATGCGTCCGAGTGATCCCGGACCAGTGGGCGGAGCTTCCAGTTGGTCCCCGAGAAAAACGAATGCGGTCCCGGACGGCCGCGCATACTGTCGCATTAGAGAAACCGGAAATGGAAGCTCCAAAACACAAAATGACAGGCAGAGATAAGTCCACGCCAATACCACGTAAAGGTATTTCTAATAGGGTTTCTCGCAATGTGTTAAACCGCCTGCAGGTCAAAAAGAAATGGCCTATTGTTTCCAGTTCATCACAGAATGCACACAGTGGCGAAGGTGCCTGAGCAGACCTGTGTTTATAGAAATTTAGATTTGGTACCCGGCAACGCAGCCTTGTGATAGCTACTTCTTGTTTTCGAGTGCGGCAAAAGTCTCTTCGCCAGGAATATAATAAATGGCGATATTCTGTAGAGTTTGTTAGTGCTGAACCTTTAAAGACTTGCAGAAGCGTACGTCTGCGGAATCGAGCAGCAGTCACATAAGCGAATGATGGACAGAGCGGTAGAATTAGTTCGCTGATTGACGACTTAGTTAAGGAATCGGCTATTTCATTTAGAAACAAACCTTTATGTCCAGGCACCCAAACTAATCGTACTTTTCTCAAATGCGCAGGTACTAGAGCACGTAACGCCTTTGTTACGTGAATATCAGCCCCAACAGAAAGTGCCGCACAGAGAGATAGGGAATCTGTTATTATGACAGCTGATGTAATTGCTGTATCTAACTTGCGTAAGGCGAGCACCACTGCCAGAAACTCGGCCACAAAAACGGGTATGAAATCGGGTAGTCGAAGGGAATAAATCTAATTTAAAATTGGACTGAAAATACCAACCCCTCACTTTTCGTCGTATTGCGATGCGTCTGTAGCAATAATAACGTTCGTTGTGATACGGCGCAGGTGATCCTGTAGTAAACCACCCAAAATAGTATGGGGAAGTAATTTGGCATTATTAGGAAAAATGTCGAATTGAATTTCCACCTGGGCCGAATTATCACGACTCGGCATGATGTCGCATATACGTACGTTTAGAGGCTCCAGTAAATTTTGCACAAATATAATTTGTGGCGTGTGAAATCGCGGCCATCTAGCAGCAAAAAATGATTCCGGGGTGGAAATAAAGGCTGTTTCTGAATGTCGTAATGGTCATTCATAAATTCTTAAGAATGTCTGAACAGTCAGAAGGCGAATTCCACAAGAAAGCGGAGGGACCACGGAGGAAGGATTCATTCCTCCGTGGGAGGGACCCTCGATTTGAGATACAACACATTGTTGGCAACTGTTTTGGGAAGGCCAAGGAATAAGCGCAAAGCTTCTCTTTCTAGAAGAATTAGAGGCCGCAACTTGTAAGCTGGAACTCCAGAGAAAAGTACACAACCAAATTCCAAAATGGGACGAACGTACATGCGATATATCATTAATAATGTGTCTCTCCTCATACCTATGCGGTAGTTGCTTAGCCTACGTAATATGCCAATGGCCCGCACACCTTTTCCGGCGATATATTCGATATGAGGTCGCCAGTTAAGCGATGTGTGATAAATTACTCCAAGGTATTTAACAGATTCCACCTGTGGTATATCCTCATGATGGTAAGACAGAGAGATGTTCGCAAGGTATTGCAGCGGGAAAACAAGGAGGGCACATTTACTCTGATTAAGTGAAAAGCTGTTGCCATCGAGCCAGCTCTCCAATATATTAAGGTAAGTCTGCAGCCGTTCATATAAGGTCTGAATGTTATCTGCCATTGCAAAAAATGCGATATCGTCTGCATAAACATAAGTTGTTATATCCTGTTTACGTGGAATGGTGCTCATTAGTAAATTAAATAGCAGCGGGGAAAGCACCGAGCCTTGCGGTACTCCCCTCGTTTGGGTATGAGTAGATGATGAAAACCCATCTTTAAAACAATAAAATTGCCTGTCTGCAAGAAAATTGTGAACCCACGCTACTATGTATGTTGTAAAATCAGGGTATTCTAATCGATCTATCAAAATACAGTGCTCCACGGTATCATATGCTTTAGCGATGTCTAAGGTAACTAAAGCTGCATATTTTTTATGTAGCCGAGCTAATTGAAGCCGACTTTCTAAGTCAACGTGGGCATCCCAAATTGAACAACCAGCCCTAAACCCAATTTGACAGGGACTTGGAATTGACCTCATGGTAATAAGTTCATTAATTCGTATATTGGTGATTCTCTCAACCGATTTCACTAAGTTTGATGTCAGTGCGATCGGCCTTATGTTATCCAACGTGTATGCATCATTTTCATTTTTTAGCAACAATACAATTTTGGCAAGTTTCCATTGTGGAGGTATCCATGCGTTCCCTAACGAATAATTCACTAGTTCTAGCAAAAGATTAGGCGATGCCTGGAGTAAACATTTCAACATAGAGTTCGTAATCCCATCTTGTCCGGGAGCCGTCCTCGGTAAGCATAATACTGTCTGACTCAATTCAGCTGAAGAAACTTCTGGAAATTCATTCAAGTTTACCGGAACGTGATGCCGATGTGAACGTTGACATCGGCATTACGGACGCCGCGAGTTGGAGCTGAAGCCACCCCAAGCCAGTCGAAGCCAGTTCCAGTTCACTTTGTTGATTGCGGTTACTGCAGCCAGCTCGTGGTGTGTGGCAACGAAATCGTGCTGGTCTATTGACCTTCCCGTTAGCGCAGTGATTACGGTAGCCGGAGCGTCTCCAGGACCCCCGTTTGCCGTCTACGCTCAGCGCGCTGTCTCGTCGGCCTGTCACATCCAACGGAGAACATATCTCCCGGCTCAAAAATCCGCTACAACATGAGTCACCGCGTTGGAAGATAAGCTTTACCCAGCAGCTGTCGCGCTGAGCATGTTTGCAAGCATCGTTCGTATACGCGTCGCCCACCTTTGATTGGTTTTCAGGTAAGTTCGAACACGACTTGGCGCTTCACTCGTGCGACGGTGTTACCGGAACGACTGCGTCCCTTTGCGAGGCATCGCATTGCCCGACTGTTGCTGGAAGCGACGCGTTGTTGTGAAATGGAATCGCGGTTGTCAGACCGACGAAGGACACTTTCTGTTTATTGGAGCTTGTTTTGACTGTTACTGTTGCCAGTGCAAGTGAAGGATCGCGCGGGCCGTCCCGTTTCAACCGGTGGTCAGTGCCGTGCGCAGGCGAGAACTGCTGTCACAACTCTGGCGCGAAAAAGTTCCTCTCACGCGGCGGCGGGTCCGTTAACTAGCTAACGTGCGGGGCGAGGAATCGCGTTTACTTTTTCGCGCTTGTGTTGTCTCCCTGTTAAAGAATAAACACAGCAAGTAGAGATCGGTGGATAAACGCGACGTCATTTGACGACTTGCCTGCGGAATGCTGGGGAAAATGCGAACTTGTGCTGGCTTGGACTGGGAATATTCGATGGAGAAAATCCGTGGGCCGTTTCTGTGTGTAGACTGAGGCCGCGGTGATGTTCTGCACGTCGTAAAAAAAAAGTAGAACACCGCGTGTTTTAAACACCGGACTGTGTTCTGCTGGGCACATTTTGCCGACCTGCACGACACCCGACTACTCGCGGATTTCCGATTCCGCTTGTAACAACCAAGTTTCTAGCGTGGCACAACGGGGTCAGTCGCATTCTTATCTGTGTTATGCACTCGGCGTACGAAGCATGCGCTCAACACAGAACTATTCAAATCGCAACCCGGCAGCGCTGCAATTGTTCATTGTTTTCTCCCTCATTGTTCACACCGATGTGTGGTTGATCACCGAACTTTGTCCGAAAAGTAAAGTACCGCGCATATTCTTCCTCCGCAGTGCCGTAGGGGTACCACATGGCGCGGCAATGCAGCCCTGCGTAGCAGGCTATGATCATATCCTTTGGCTCCTGTAGTCCAGGCAAGAGAAGCCTTCGCACATCACGAACATGTCTTGGGGTAAGTGTTCCTGAAGTCGCGGATCAATACTAGTTCGTTCCATGCATAAATATAGCAACGTGCGTATGTCATTTCGAATGCTTTACAGCAGAAGCTTTTCAGTATATTTCCAATGCTGCCGCTTGGTTCAGTGCATTAGCCGACACACAAGCTGTACTAAGTGTTACAGATATGCTGCGTGGTTATTGAGCTTTACACGTAATGCTGTAGCAGCGAGTCAGTACTGAGCCTTAATTATCATAGTTACTGCACATTATGGACATTGGCATCTTATCAATTAGCCTGCTATAATGTTGTCAACCCCCGTTAAGTGCTGTATACACATTTGTGTGCATTTCTTTTTGCCTTCCACACCTATTGATGGCCCTGAAGAAACAGTAGATATTGAGCTTTGTACAAATCCAACCCTTTCATACTCCATGCATGTTTGTTAAACATGTATATTTAGTAGCGTTAAAAACTGCTGCTTTGGTAGGCACTATACCATGCTTGATGGTGATGTTCGACGTGCTGCTAATGATAGCACTAAATAAATCTTGAATACCTCGTGATGCTCGCAGTCAGTGGTTACCATCTGCATGCACATTGAGTCATTTATTCAACCCCAAGTAACACAGTGATTGGCTGTGTAGTGAGCGCACGTTTAATTGACTCCGTGGTTATCGCGGCTCACCCCGATTTATGCAGAGAAACAGTACCGCTGCTTAGCAACAAGATGACCGGAGCCTTGTTGTAAATTGCTGGGAATTTGACACATTCTCTTTACGGTTTGTCACAATTCACACACATTTGTCACAAGCGCACCACTGGTAGAATTTGCAGAGAATGAGTGAATGGCTACATGGAGCATATGCCCAGTTAGTTATAATAGTGAAACAATGAACTTATCTTTGAAAGGTCAGCTAATACAATAGCCGGTGTCCTCGTCATGCTTATGTGACGCCTCATTATGTCCTATGAATGTCAACAGTGAGGCATGTCAGATTGTGGTGTTATCACAGCCTTGATTTTTCCATGCCTCATAACAGTCACACTTGATCAGATAAATTGTGAAATGTGTTGTGATATGAACAACAGGAAATGGAGATTGTCATTTCCTTTTATATGGTGCAAAGGAAGATAAGAGACATCCTGCGGATAAGGATTAGCTAGGGAAGGGGACCGTGTTGCAAATTGTTTATTGAGTGACACGCCATGAAATGACGCTAAAGATATGTACAAATATTTTATGCACAGACATATGTTGAACAGTTGCAGATGTAATGTTAATAGAATTGGATAGCCAGCACTGCAACCACAGTTGATGTTTCACGAACATTTGGGTCTATTTGAGTAGTAGTTCCGAAACCTGGCGTGCCTTTGTGGTAGAATACTTGATCGCTGCACAGAATGCTGGGGTTCGATTCCTGCTGGGACCATGACATTTATCTTTTTGCATTCGTTGGTTCAACGCTGCTGTTGTCAGCTTTTTCTTAATGTTCATGCATTGAAATTGCCCACGTCTGTTCTCACTGTTTTTAAGTAGATACAAATGTCAAATCACCTGTGACACATACCCGCCCACAAGTATGTGCCACTGTCTGGTGGTAGGTAAGTGTCTGACGACGCAAGCGATGGTATTTGGACCTAATTCATGTCTTGACCAGCGTGTCATATTCGCCAAACCATCTTACCCTCCAATGCAAATTTTAACGCGACAGCGTTAAAGAGCTCGTTTCACAGAAATTCCGGTGTCGGCGTTGTTGGTTGAGAGCAAAAAGTCATCATCTTATGCATGACCGAAAAATTGAGAATGATGCAAATAAAATTAATGATAAAAAAATCCTGGGTCAGAGTGGGTATTTAACTCTGGTTGTTTGGATCCGAATGGGGATCGTACCAGGGTCGTTTGCTTGGCAAGCTGATGTTCTACCGCACGGCCACGCATCTGTTTGTGAATGCAGTGAAAATAACTTCCTTTGCTTGAAAATGCAGTGAAACTGACTTTCATGTTTTACAAATACTCGCGTCCTGTAGAAATGCGTGGTATAAGCGCCCATTGCCAGCGGGCATCAGAACATGTGATTATCACAATGGCTTTGTGGTTTAAAGTCGGTCGCCCACAACGAAAGGCACACACGCTACTGCGCCTATTTCCTTTTAAGGCCGCGTAGTGGGTGTACAGCAAGTTTGAAAAGGTTTCATGCACTAAGCGTTTAAAGTATGCTCTAGGAACAGGACATCACTTTCGCCTTCAACTCTTAATGGTGAAGCTTTGAGGCCCCCTAATTCTTTTTTTTTGTTCTAGCCAAGTTAAGGAGGTGAGGGGAAAATCACAAAAGCATCTAGATGTAAGCGACTAGATAGATGGACGAGAGGCGGGCGGATGTTGATATACGTGTGGCTTCACCATGAGTTGCCAGTGACTCAATTGTACTTAAAGACAGCATTAACGGGAAGCTTAAGGATTGCATTGTTGATAATTATAAAGAAGATTTCATGCGCAGCCTTAAGGAATAGAGAGAAAACACAGAACCCAGTCCAAGTGCGTTCATGCGGTGTTCAAGATGAGATTCAGATGAAAAAAAGAGGTATTGGTCAGGCCATGCAATGTGTAGAATGAGTAACCAATGGAACGTCGAGTGGGTTTTGTGAATATGTGAACATTCTTGACGATGATATGGGATTAGATTAATAGGTATAGCTTTTTTGTGCGAATGTTTCATAGGTATAACTTTCTTTGTGCGAATGCAGTACAGGTTGATCCACGGAAGGTACATTTGTCTTGCATTGGGCATAGAATGAGCTAGTGATCCATGCAACAATGCTTATTTAACTGTGAACATGTTTAGAGCAAATTGTTTATTTTGTGACCATTATAAATTTGGTGCATTTCCTCTGCAGTTATTGCTTTTATGCGCACACATTTCATTCTGATGGCACGTAGCAACTGGCCCTATTTAGCCGGGGTAATACTTTGGTCTTGTGGGGTCTCGGCGAGGCGAACGCGCGCACCGCCACGCCACGCTCTTGGAGTGAACGGACACAGTGGACACGGTCGGTACAACGCACCCACATACATATTTATTAACCAATTTAGACGACGATATCGTCCGCCGAATGTTACATCAGTTTTAACTAACACGCTACCATACAAACAACATAACACAGTGAAACACTAAACACACAATAACATGATAAACACACTAGCACATACCCAAGGCGGCGTCGCTAACGCCTGACCTTCCACGCGGGACCCCGGCGCGAAGCCCGCGGTGCCGAGCACCGGGGGCCCACGCGACAGACAACCGTTCGCGGCAGCCGGCACGCGCCGAAGAGGCTCGCTCAACGCTCGCCCACCACCAAGGCCCGCCTTCCGCCAGGGGCCACCACCGGCGCTACCTCTCTACCAACAGTGGTACTCAAAGCGAACACAACGCCATCTATCGCCCGGTGGTGGTCACCACCGAAATAACGCCCTGGGGCGAGACACGTGCGCCACGCGGCGCAGACAACTTTACAGGGGGGGGGGTCAGCACCCCCACATTCTCCCAACCTTAAATCAAACCATATCCCGAAATCAGAAATTAGCTACACAAGCTTTAACAAAAAAATGATATCGCACGACCATAATGTCCTTGCACCACGACACCGCCGCTGGTCGACACTGCTGCACTCTCCGGCTAGACTTCACCTCAGTACCGGCCCCGCAACAGCAACGTTGCCGTCGGCGCGACGATCCGTCGCTAGCGCCGACACGTCTTCCAGTTGCGACCAGCACTCACGAGGGCGCCGGACTGCAGGCAGTTGCGCAGGTCCCAGGCATCTTCGTCGCCCGAACTCACGACCGCATTCCTGGCCAGCGACGCTGACGATGTGCAGGACAGCCGGCCGTGGATGACATCCCTCCCGCTGAATACATTAACAAAAAAACAAAACTCGAAAGAAACAAAGGAGCGCGGCCCAGGGGAGGGAGCTTCAGGCTTTTCGGCCACGTGGTACGGTGGTTAGTACTGCTAGCTAATACATCGGTGGCGGCCGAGACGCCCATCAAAATAAAAACAAAAATCACTTTTCCTAACTCGTGCTCACAAGAAAAAAAAAGTGAGGGAAGCAGAGCGCAACACCTCAACGCTACGATCCACCTAGTTGTGCCACGTGCGACAGGCGGCTGCGCAGAGTCTTAGGCCTAATGAGTCGCTCGGCAACAACCGGCATCCACCCAGCACCCAGCCTAGGCGCAGAAGAGGCAGCCGCGAGGAGACGTCCACTCTGTGAGGTGGCCCTATCGCTCGCCGCACACAGCAGCTTACCGAGCGATCGGCGTCCACCGCCCCGGGCGGTGTCACGACGCCCCGGCGTCGAGCCGCAATACAAGTCAGCAACGACGCCCGGCTTCCTGAGCCCAAAGAGATAGAAGAAGCTATTTACAGAAAATCGGACCACCCACGAGGCTTCCGTACTCACTCGCTTCGGGCCTGGCCTACAAACCACGTGCTCTAGGCCTTGCTCACCCCAGGATGCGGACCGCATGGCTCTCGTCCTAATTCAACAACGTTTTTGAAAACTAACAAAAAAAATAACACTTGCGAGCAAAAAAAATAAATAAAAACTCAACCTGCCGAAAACTTCAAACACGTTACAAACCGATCTCCTCGCTCTGAACAAAGCACACGGCCGACGCTAGCAATGAGAAGTCCCCCCTAGGCCTACTCCACTCCGGCTCTAACAAAAGTTTGCACCAAACTGCAAAAACTGTCGTCCGATACTCCAAGAGCCCCACGTTGGGCACCAGTGTGGGGTCTCGGCGAGGCGAACGCGCGCACCGCCACGCCACGCTCTTGGAGTGAACGGACACAGTGGACACGGTCGGTACAACGCACCCACATACATATTTATTAACCAATTTAGACGACGATATCGTCCGCCGAATGTTACATCAGTTTTAACTAACACGCTACCATACAAACAACATAACACAGTGAAACACTAAACACACAATAACATGATAAACACACTAGCACATACCCAAGGCGGCGTCGCCAACGCCTGACCTTCCACGCGGGACCCCGGCGCGAAGCCCGCGGTGCCGAGCACCGGGGGCCCACGCGACAGACAACCGTTCGCGGCAGCCGGCACGCGCCGAAGAGGCTCGCTCAACGCTCGCCCACCACCAAGGCCCGCCTTCCGCCAGAGGCCACCACCGGCGCTACCTCTCTACCAACAGTGGTACTCAAAGCGAACACAACGCCATCTATCGCCCGGTGGTGGTCACCACCGAAATAACGCCCTGGGGCGAGACACGTGCGCCACGCGGCGCAGACAACTTTACAGGGGGGGGGGGGTCAGCACCCCCACAGTCTTTAAAAACTTGAATTACAGGCCAATCAGCTTGCTATTCGTCTTACACAAAGTATTTGCAAAAGTAAGTGCTAATAGAATAAAACAATCAATCAAAGGATCAACCAGGATTTTCATACAGGCTACTCAACAATTGACCACATTCATACTACCAATAGGGAGATAGAGAAATGCTCAGAATACACCCAACCACTATACATAGCCTTTACAGATTACGAAAACATATTTGATTCCGTAGAGATATCAACAGTCATGCAGGCACTGGAATCAGGGCATCGAGGAAGTATATACTAACATCCTGGAAAAAAGTCTACAGACATTGCCTTCTGAGTAACTCAGGTGATGAATTGCAACTCATGATTACTGAATTAGACAAGGAGAGCAGAAAGGTAGGTCTTAAAAATAATGTGCAGATAACGAAAGGGATGTACAATAACCTCGGAAGAGAATAGCGCTTCAAGATAGGTAGCAGTGCACTTGAAGTTGTAAAAGAGGAGGTCTACTTGGGACAGGTAGTAACTGCAGAGCCGAACCACGAGATAGAAGTAGATAGAACAATAAACATGAGGTGGAGCACATTTGGCAAGCTAGTAAAATCATGAATGGTAGATTGTCACTATCCCTCAAGAAGAACATGTATAACAGCTGCATCTTGCCAGTACTTACCTACGGAGCAGAAACCTGGAGGCTTACAAAGAGGGTTCAGCTTAAGCTGAGGAGGATGCAGCGAGCAATGGAGAGGGAAATGAAAGGTGTAACCCTAAGGGACAAGAAAAGAGCAGAGTGTAACAGGGAACAAGTGGGTATTAAGGACATGACATCATAGTTGAAGTCAACAAGAATAAATGGTCGTGAGCAAGGCACGTGGGGTGAAGGCAGGATAACTACTGGTCATCAAGGTTCACAGACTAGATTCCAAGAGGAAGCAAGTGGGTGAGGGGGAGACAAATTTAGGTGAACAGATGAGATTAGGAAGCTTGCTGGTGTAAAGTGGCAGCAGCAAGCACAGAACCGAGTTGACTGGCGGAACAGGGAAGAGGCCTTTGTCCTGCAGTGGGCTAGTCAGGCTGATGATGATGATACTTTGGTCGCACAAGAAATTTGTTGTTTGCTGGTAGAAACAGCTTGCCTCCTGTGTGACTGTGCCATTCGCTTATAGTGCATTTGGGTGGTTATGTCAGAGCATTCCAAGGGTTCTCGAAAATTTATGTAAAAATTAGGGGACCCTTAGCTTCGTCTTTAGGAGTTGAACGCAATAGCGATATCCTGTTCCTAGTGCATATTTTGAACACTTGGTGCATCTTTTCGAGTTTGCTATGAACCCGCGATACATGGCCTTAAGGGAATAGGCACAGTAGGGTGTGTGCTTTTGTAGTGGGGCACTTGCTTTCAACCATGGAGCCATTACGATAATCAGATATTCTGAAGCCCGTTCGCAATGGACACTTGGCCATTACATTTTGCATTGTGAAGCATGTATACAGGACGCGTGTGTTCGTGAAGCATGAAAGCTACTATCACTGCGTTTTCTAGCAGATAGTTCTTTTCACTGTCTTCACAAGCAGAGGCATGCCCGTGTGGTAGAACATTCGCTTGCCACGCAGACAACCCGGGTTCCATTCCGACTAGGACCCCAACAACCCTTGTTCTGTCCCCACTTTGCTCCAGGTTTTTATTATCATTTATTCGTTTTATTTGTATCGTTCTAGATTTTTCGGTCACGCATAAGATGAGGATTTTCACTCACAACCAACGACGCCGACAGCAAAATTTCTGCAAACGAGCTCTTTAACGCTATCCCGTTAAAAGTATAACTAAGCGCTCTAACTGTCAGAGAGTGACTGAGTGGTTATTAATAAGAAGAGGTTGATTAATTTCAATTTAAAATAAACCTGTTTGAATTTAAAATAAAAGCTCATTACATGGAGAACACAGATGGTAGGTTTTTTTTTTTCATTGCTGCTGCTCGTGGTTCTTGTATATACGCTGCTCAATTTGGACAAATTTATTTCCGCCTTTTGCTGCAGAGCTCATTTTCTTTCGTTGTGTCCACGGAACAAAGATCTGGCACATGCGTCACGCCTTGCATAGTCTTGTCCGATTTTGCAAGCACGGGAATCTGGATACGCAGCCCAATCACCGCTGACACTACTAAAATAAGCATTCCAAGACATGATCAGGAAGGAGGAATACGACCTTCACGCCTACTTGTTATCATTGCAGAGCTTCAAAGCTGCCGAATTTGCGCCTATTAAAATCATGCTCTCGAACGACCACCTGAATGTGCCATTAGACATTCCATAGAAGAGACAGATTTGTGGGTCGTTAAACTGGTTGTGCTGCGTAGATGCGCTGCACCCTTTCACTGACTCATTCTTCCTGTTGCAGCTGATGCAGATCAGTTGGACTTCACTTGCGAGTTCTGTGGGGTCAGCTTGAATGGGGAGAAAGAGTTTCGGGACCACTGTAACTCGCTCGAGCACCGGGCGGTGCTTGTGTCCGATGGCGGCCGCACGTGGAAGCACCGGCCACCGCCACGCGGCATCCCAGCCGACGAACTCTCAATTTGTCAGAAGTGAGTGGCGTCCCAGCTTATTTTTGTGACACACTTTGGTTTTCATATATTAGGCAGCAAGAATCTTCGATGAGGTTTCACAGTTCTTGCATTACAACCTTAAAATGGTAGCCTAGTTGCTAAGCATTTGCACTGCTTGAGGGCGTTTGTTTGCTTCATGACCCTAGTGGGCACATTTTAGCGCAATCGAAGTGCGGAAAGAGACCGATAAGTGCACATTAAAAATCCCGAAGAATCAAAGTCAAGGGGGGGACATGGCTTTTGGTACCAACTTTTTCTTCATAAATTTTGATAAAAATTGGGGCACTTGTTTGAAATGTTTTTCAAATGCTACTGATAAATTTTACGAAAAATCTTTACTACAACTTTATGATGTGCAATATATTTGTTCTCCTGGTCTTTTTCCTCGTCTGACTCGCTTAAAAAGCATAATTGAAAACTCGTCGAAAGTTCTATCCAGTCTAAGATGTCTGATTGACGACATGTCATTCACAGATTTTTTTTCTTTGCAACACAATTTTTCTTTTCAGGTTTCATTTTTCATGATGTGTTTATGCATCAGGTGTCGAGGCTGTGTGCGACATGTCAAATAGCTAATTATCAAAAGGCCACAATGAGAAAGCAATAATGTCATGCCCGGCACAGCATAGAGTTTCAGAAATATACACTAGAGGGAACTCTGGCCCTAGTGTCTATGAGAGCTGCAACGCACGGCGCTTCAGCGAGCATGGGAATGATGAGTAATATACGGATTTGTCTAATCTCCATACTTCTGGCTTCGTGCTTGTTGCTGTGGCTGGAAACTGTTTTTTCACAAAACAAAAATTAGCAAATAATCAGCTGTTGCGCTTCACCATCTTAGACTCACCATTTCAAATCTGGTCACGAACTTCAAAAGGGTTGTTCTTTCCTTCAGAACAAAACCGAAGCACAGCAATAAACGAAGCCGCAAGTGTGTTTCACCTTCCACAAGTACAAAGACTAGGCAGATCCGTGTACTATCTATCCTTCCCATGGTTGCTGAAAGATCGCAGCGCCAGAGTCCCCTCTAGTTAATTTTAGAAAACTCTATGTGGCACTGTACATCAAGAAATATAGAACAAAAGATAGAATGGACATAGACCCAGCAGTTGCTAAGAAATCATCGGAAGTAGGAAGCAAAAAAAATCATTTTGAGAAAGTGGCTTTTGATGTTGTACCAACGATTTTCCATCATGGAAAGGCTCTGGGGTCATAATAGTTTCAGTATTTTGCAATGTGCAGTTTCTTGAATGCACTGTTGGTTAGAAGTGCCTTGCTTCGCTAAAATTCAAGAAGAATATTGTCGTAACGTGCAAAGAGCAGGACACAAGGCTTCCTTTCGACGTTAAAAGCAAGGTTCTATTCACATAGAAAAACAAAGCGCAAGAGCAGACGCGCAACGTCGTCTTCCTCGAAAAACGCCAGAGACTGCCGCTCGTGATGCTGGCTTCTTCGTCCTTTTGTGTGTACAGCTAATAACCGTGACATTAGCCTCCCTCTTAAGAAGGCATCGTCCCGATGCTTCATCACCATGGCAGAAGGGTTTGTAGTCACTGGCAGACCACGGGTTCATTCGGACAAATAAGGTTTCATCCGAACCACGTGCACAACTTCTGGTGCATGTCTTTGACGTCTTGAACAATGGGGACTGTCGGGAATCACCTCATAGTTAACATCACTGAGACGACGGAGGACTTTATACGGCCCAAAGTACCGTCTCAAGAGTTTCTCCGAGAGGCCACGACGGCGAACTGGAGTCCAGATCCAAACTTTCTGTCCTGGTTCATAGGAGACAGGTCGGTGACGAAGATTGTAGCGCCTTGTGTCATACTCCTGGTGGCAACGAATACGTACGCGAGCAAGTTGGCGGGCTTCTTCAGCAAGCTGAGTTATGTAGTCTGCACTGGTGTCAACGCCATCACTTTCCACTTTCATGCGGCAACATAGCGTCGAGCATGGTTGTGACGTCACGGCCATAGAGAAGACGAAATGGTGTCATGCGTGTTGACTCTTGCTGTGCCGTATTGTAAGCGAAAGTGACGTAAAGCAGTATCTCGTCCCAGTTTTTATGTTCCACATCGACGTACATGCAAAGCATATCCGCGAGTGTTTTGTTCATCCGTTCCATCAGACCATTTGTTTGTGGATGGCATGCCGTTGTGTGCCGGTGAGATGTCCCACTTAGATTTAAAACTGTGCGTAATAGCTTGGCTGTGAACGCTTTTCCTCTCTCAGTTATTACTACAGATAAAGCGCCTTGCTCAGGACTATATTCTCAATGAAAAACTGGGCTGCTTCACTTGCTGTGCCCCGCTCCAAAGCCTTGGTTTCGGCGTAGCGAGTAAGATAGTCTGTGGCTACAATTATCCATTTGCGACCAGCAGCCGAAGTTGGAAATGGTCCTAGAAGATTCATTTCGACTTGAGCGAATGGAGTTTCCGGTACATAAATTGGATGGAAGAGCCCTGCTGGTTTGACAGCTGGCACTTTCCTACGTTGGCACTCAAGACAAGTCCGAACGTGCTGTTGAACGGTTGCCGTCAGTTTTGGCCAGTAATACTTCCGTCTCACTCGGCATAGCGTTCGTGTGTGGCCTAAATGACCGGATGTTGGTTCGTCACGGCACGCCTCTAGTACTTCTTTCCTGAGTGGTGTTGGGACGACAAGTTAGTAGGTCTTGCCGCCCGGAGAAAAGTTCGCCTTATAAAGGACCTCATTGCGCAAACAAAACAATGCTATCCCTCTTGCGAAGAGCTTTGGCATAGCAGATGTGCGTCCCTCTAAGAAATCAATAAGGGGTTGCAACTCGGGTCACGTTGCTGCTGTGCGATTGTAGACGTGTTGACTACACCGACAAATGTCGCATCGTCATCATCTTCAGCATTTGCGTCTTCTAATGGGGCGCGAGAAAGGCAATCGGCGTCTGTATGTCGCTTTCCGGATTTATAAACTATAGTCATATCGAATTCTTGAAGCTTGAGGCTCCAGCGCGCCAATCGTCCTGACGGGTCCTTTATGTTCATCAACCAACAAAGCGAGTGGTGATCGCTGCTGACTTTAAACGGGCGGCCGTACAAATATAGACGAAACTTCCTCACCGCCCACAACACCGCAAGACACTCTTTTTCAGTGGTAGAGTAATTCTCCTCTGTACGGGAGAGAGTCCGACTTGCATAAGCAATTACTCGTTCGGCGCCATCTTGCCACGGAACGAGCACAGCGCCTAAGCCGACATTGCTGGCGCCGGTGTGAACCGCTGTCGGAGCGTCATCGTTGAAGTGACCGAGAACTGGCGGGCTTTGAAGACGTTCTCGCAGCTCGTTGAACGCTTCCTGCTGCTCTTCACCCCACACAAACGTGACGTCTTCTCGGGTGAGTTGTGTTAAAGGTGATGCAATACGCGAAAAATTCTCAATGAAGCGTCCGTAATAGGCGCACAGGCCTAAAAATCGCCGCACTGCCTTCCTGTTTGATGGCGTAGGAAAACTTGCAACAGCGGCTATTTTGTCTGGGTCAGGCCGTACACCTTCACTGCTGACAAGGTGTCCCAAGAAGAGGAGCTCTACGAAGCCAAAGTGCCATTTTTCTGGCTTAAGTGATAGTCCGGCCGATCGTATCGCTTGAAATACCGCGTGTAGTCGCTTCAAGTGCTCGTCAAATGTCGCTGAAAATACAATTACATCGTCCAAATATACCAGGCACGTTTGCCACTTTAGACCTGACAGGACTGTGTCCATGAGCCGCTGAAACGTTGCCGGTGCTGAGCACAAGCCGAACGGGAGAACTTTAAACTCATAAAGACCATCGGGTGTCACGAATGCTGTTTTTTCTCTATCTCTTTCATCAACTTCTATTTGCCAATATCCGCTTCGTAAATCCATCGAAGAGAAATACCGGGCATGACGTAGTCGATCGAGAGAATCGTCTATACGAGGCAGCGGGTAAACGTCTTTTTTCGTAACCTGATTGAGCTTGCGGTAATCAACGCAGAAACGTAAAGTGCCATCTTTTTTCTTCACCAATACTACCGGTGATGCCAAACGACTTTTTGACGGCTCAATAACGTCATCCTGAAGCATCTTTCGCACCTGACTTTCTATGGCCTTACGTTCCCGCGGAGCTACTCGGTATGGGTTCTGCCGTATGGGTCTGGCCGTTTTATCCATAATTATGCGATGTTTCGTCAACGGCGTTTGGCGAACTCTGGACCTCGAAGAAAAACAGTCCTGAAACTCATTAATAAGCTTCAGAAGGCTTTGCTTTTGTGGGGGCAGTAAACTTGGGCCAACGTCGACGGATAGAGGGGCAGACCCGGTGACATCGGCTTTCTCCACAGTCAAGCAGCCTGCAACCTCAATGAGCTTCTCGACGTACGCGACTGCCATGCCTCTTGCAAGATGTCGTCGCTCAGTACTGAAGTTTGTAACCAGAATGTGCGTGTGTCTGCAATTGAGGCTTACGACGGCTCTTGCAACAGATAGGCCATGGCTGAATAGCAATGCTGGAATTTGCTCAGCGATGTGGTCGAAGTTGCCTGGGTGGTCGCATGTTACAGCTACGAGAGCACTTGAACTGGGTGGAAGGGTCACGTGATCTTCGAAGACGCGCAGATGTTTACGCCGCTGGTCGTTACATCTCATATCTGAAACTTGATCCGGAGGCATCAAAAATGTAACTGACCTGTCTGGAATGTCTATGACGGCGCCGTATTCACGAAGGAAGTCCATCCACAATATCAGGTCTTTGCAGCACTCGGACAAAATCACGAACGTGGCAACGAAAGCTGAATCACCGATACTAATTCTGGCAGTGCACTTTTCTGGCAGTGCACTTTCCAGTTGGCGCCATCAGTTGGCCTCCCGCGGTTCATATGTTAGGCCCCGTCCATGACGTTTTAACTTTTTTAAGCCAGTCGGCAAGGTTTCTGCTCATGATAGAGAAATCTGTGCCAGTGTCTACTAGCGCTGTCACAGGGCGTCCGTCTATGTAAACAGCTAGGTCGGCGCTTACGATTTCCTGCGGGGTTGGCGGCGTTGCATCGTTCGTCGTATCTTCGTATCGTACTAGTACTGGAGGTATTGCAGCATCTCGACAAGTGGCAACCTTCCCTCCAAAGGTCGCGGCTGTTAGTTTCCCCGGTGAGGGCTTGGGGACCTGCCCCGGACAGCGTCGGCGTAACTACGACGGTTCGGCGAAGTGCTCGGCGAGGGTGACGGAGAGCGGGATCGACGATACAGAGCGGATGGCTGTCTTTGCGGGTGCACGCTGTCACGTCAGGTGTTCAAATGAGGCCGTGAAAAACTCGGCGCATAAGTCGGGTATCTTTGTACACGATATGGACAGACGTGGTAAACATGTCCAGCTTATTCGCACTTGAAGCAATTGAAACACAGTGGACGGCTGTCGACGGTGCGCCACAGATCCATCTTGCGAACGAATGGTCGACTGGTAGGCACCCTTGGCGACCAAGTTGCAGGTGTCGGCGGAGGGTAGAAAGGCGGGTAGAAAGGCGGGTAAAACGGAGTTTCGATAGGTGCATTATATTGCGGCGGCATCGCCGTTAGTGGTGGCAGCGGTGGCGGCGGTGTGTTGTAGACTGGTGCCGTCGGCGCGTTGTAAGAATGAGCCAGTGCAGACGAGTTGTACGGCACTGGCGATGGACGACGGGTGGCTGCCGCGTAGTTAATAGATCGCTGGGCTGGTAGTGATTCGGGCTGCGAAAATGCTAGCCTGATCTCCTGCCGCACAACTTCTCCAACTGAAGCCATCGCCCGTTCTTGCGGAGTCGCTAGGAAGCTGCGGATTTACTCACGAACAACCTCGCGAATAAGCTCACGCAGAGAACCGTCACAGCCGGCCGTCAGAGCAGAGACGCTGATTGAGGCACCGTTTGGTCGGTCGTAATAGCGACACCGTTGGGGCAGTGCGCGCTCGATAGCTGTAGCCTCTTTGACGAATTCCGCACCAGTCGTCGGTGGATGGCGGAGAAGGCCGGCAAAAAGCTGTTCTTTGACGCCTCGCATCAAATGACAGAGTTTCTTGGCTTCAGGCATATTAGGGTCAGCCCGTCTAAATAGGCGCGTCATGTCCTCCGCAAACATTGCGACACTCTCATTCGGTTTCTGGACCCGAGACTCGATGAGTTGCTGAGCGAAGTCACGGCGGTCGTTGTTTGCGAAGGTGCTGATAATTTGCTGCCGAAATTCATCCCATGAAGACAGCGTTGCCTCGTGGTTCTCATACCACGTACGAGCGCTGTCCGCTAAAGCAAAGTAGGCGCGTGAAAGCTTTAGCTTGGTGGTCCAGCGGTTTGCCTTAGCGACTCGCTCATACTGGGCTAATCAGTCCTCGACGTCTTTGTACGCCTCACCATGGAATGTCTCCGGAATCTGAGGCTGCTCAAAAGTCAGCTGTGAAGCACCTGCAGTTGTCATTTCTCCAGGCGGAGTGCTTTGCTGGGAAAGTTCCAGGGGAATCACCTCAGGACTAAGGCCTCGCTGTCGGCGACTGTAGCGGTGGACAGGGGTATCCACTGAAGGAACGGGTTCGGTGTCGGACTTGAAGTGCCGGACAGCGAAGGAGTCCCGAGCACCAGTCGTAGAAGCCCAGCACCTCCACCAGTGTCGCAACGTGCAAAGAGCAGGACACAAGGCTTCCTTTCAACGTTAAAAGCAAGGTTCTATTCACATACTAAAACAAAGCGCAAGAGCAGACGCGCAACGTCGTCTTCCTCGAAAAACGCCAGAGACTGCCGCTCGTGATGCTGGCTTCTTCGTCCTTTTGTGTTTACGGCTAATAACCGTGACAATATGATCTTATAATGCTGGACCTCCTTTACATGTGGCCCTTTCTCTGTAGGGCTTTTATTCATCTTTTATCAATATCCTTTTTTGATCTACAAAAGAACATAGCATGGATATTGAGTCAAGTTTTCTGTACGAACTGGTGCAATAGGCATGCCGGAAAGCAAGATAACGTAATCTGATTAGGTGATATACTGTGGCAATTTACAAGCTTTCTTGTATTCATGCTGTCACTAACATGATTGGCGGTCTTGGTTTCATTGAATTATTGAATTATATTTGGATATTAAGAAAGAGTGGCCGTCATCACTTTATCAGCAGATACCCCTGGTTTTGCATTCGATAAGCACCGCGTGTGGAAAGAATTTTTATAGAGTTTTTGCTTACATTTTCAGTGTTCTTCAGTGCCATCTTGTGCAGCACCGTGGCGGCAAGACATTTGCGGGGTCACAGCCATCGGCCATCGAAGCGCCAACCACCTGAAAATGCTCCGAGTTGTTGAGAATGGGATTTTGTGGGAATTTGCAAAGCCTGGGTGTAAGCCAGGTGAATTCGCGTGTGATGTGCCGACTGTTAAGTTCACTTCCTTTGCATAAGCACTGTTTGCAGTCAAATTTCAATTCAGTGAATTACCATACATAACAATGCAATGAAAAATTGTGTCATTGCAATTGCAGTCCTGATATTACGCTTTGTTGAGCAAATCTTAAAAGGGGCTCGTCGTTGATAAGAAAGCCATGCGAAGACTAACACAAGAAGTTGTTGCTTTTGTGCTATGTGGGCCGCAACTCTTGTGTTCCTGTTTGTATTATACAATTATATTAATTATTATAACATGGGTTGGGGCTCCTGTGTTTTCACTCATGTGATAAGGTTTGGTCGTATGCGAACTGGTAAACGAATGGTCCAACTTTCCTTCGTGCAAATAATGTGACGTTCCTTTCCGGCAGTCACCATCTGTACGGTCAGTGTCGGCTGGGGAGCCAGTGCTGCGAGGCCCATAGCGAGGACGAGCTGGCTGAATGGCTGGAACGCCTCAAGTACCGCAGGGAGAGGCTTAAGAAGGCTCAGCAGAAGCACCTTGAGGTTTGTGCAAGCCAAGCCATTGTGTGTTTCGGCACACTTGTTCTGTTTTGTTTCGTTATAACTGTGTGGCTGTGGAGAGGTTACGGTCCATGTTACCTCGGCCACTTCGTATTAAGTTCTGTTGCGGGGAAAAAAAAAAGCATCGCACGCTGAAACAAGTTGAAATGACATGGCACTGTACAGTTCGCTTGCAACAATTCATACTGCAATAAAATGCTCACATGCGCTTGTTTGTGTCTCTTCTCTTCGTCCCGTGAGTTTGTGCGCTGTTTCTGCCCATAATCACATGCACACTGACAATATGTGTCTCTTAAGGGGGGACACAGCTTTCTTTCGTATTGTGAAAAATGGCCAAAAGATTGATTTTTTGAAAATCTCATTTTCAGTTTCTGCAGCCCTTCTTCTATCTGATTCCAAAATATCTCCCCTAAAAACTGCCTAGAAGTGCTTTTAAAAATTGGTTGCGCTTGCAAAATTGACAATAATTATTGTGGAAATCGCATAAAAACGCCAATTTTCAAGAAATCGTAGCTTCGGAATGGCGCGACCAGGAGCTGTTGCTTGAAAGAGCGTTCCTCCATGTTCAAATTGTCCGCCTCAGTGGCTGAAGGTCTTCTCTAGGTCTCTGATTCACCGCGTCCGCCATTTTGCTCTCATGCGCCTCACAATTGGCTGAACCCGGTAAGAATGTCTGCTGCTTGTGCCTTAGTGTGTTGCGAGGTCACGGCTCTCGAAAATCACGAAATCTAGTAGCGACGCGTGCTTACTTGTTCTGTGTGCGATAATAGACGCCCATTTAGAATTGTGTTGGTAGTTCAGCCTGTCAGACCCCTGCAAGCGAAAGCTCATTCGAGAAGCTGCAATAATGCTTCATTCGTCGCAAACATTGCAGACGGGAGTCTTGGACTGACCCGTCAGACCCGCGGGGATTGATATGCTCTGTTTATCAGCATTTCGGACTTCCTGACGAAGACCATAGCAGAACTGCTTTCTGTACTCGCGATTGAACATGTTTTTTAAACAATGAGCATCACAGCTGAGCTTACTGCTCAGAGACTTGGCTAGGCCTAGCTAGCTCCGCTCACGGTGCTGATACGAGATGAATGCATACTCCCTTTTTACTGCTTCAAGCCTGCTTCAGAAATGCATTATTCCTGCTACCTGAGTTTCTCCAAAAGGATGAAGCCCGCTTCTTTGAATTTTAATTCCAATTGGATGTTGCCTGCATTTGTCTTTGAGAGAAGTTCAAATGGAAGAAATTCCAGTGCGAATCAAATGGAATAGCCAATAGTATTAGAAAAAATACTTAAAGTTTCGAATATTCGCTCCCCCATAACCTGTCACGAACAGTATGGCCATCGCTTGAAAATTTAGTGACGCGGAGTGGTGTTGAAGGCTAAGTTTGATAACGGACCAAATAAGCTTGGTGCTATTGCTAGCAGAACTGCTCATGGCAGCTGTTGTGCGATGGTTGCGCAGGGTTATCAAGAGTACGCCAAGGATCTGCTGGAGCGGTACTCGGAGGCGAAGGACCCCATGGACATGCAAAGGGTGATGACTGAGAGCTTGAAGGGCCTTCGGCTAACTTGTCGGCAGCAGCTCAAGCGAACGGTCATCTCCAAGGAGAGCGAGCTCGTGTGGGAGTTTGAGCTCTGCACCATCGTGAGTACCGACGGGTTTACAGTGTAACCTCATTACAACAGACCTCCATAATTAGAAGTATGTCATAAAACCCAAGTACTGTTACAACAGACTTTTATGAACACACTGAATGGGTGTGTTATAACCGGGGAGAATTGCGATCAATATACGGATTTATTCCCAACGGGGCACAAGAAAATGGATTGAGTGAACCGACGAAACAAGGGATAAGCTATTTCTCATGTAGGTTATACTGGCAGTGCGGTATGGTAGGATTTCATTCTTTTTTTTTATGCGTTCTTGCTACAAATTGTATAGAAGGGTTATACTAACTTGACCGCAATCTCTTCCCCGTTTTGTGAGCAGACACCCCTTCAGCGCCTGGTTCTGCTGCACGACGCGTATCGGGGCCACTTTGAGCTGAGGCTGGTGGAGAAGTCTCCGTTTAAGTTTGTGCTTGCGCCGGGCTGCCAGGAGTGGGTGAACAGCCTCCAGACACCTGCCAGCAAGGACGTGCTCATCTACTACATCCAGGTAAGGACGGCAGAGTAAATATCAGTAGGCATGTGCGAATATTCGAGCTTGTCAAATAGTAGAACGAATACAGTTGAACCTGTTTACAAGAGATGCAAAAAGTTGCATTGTGGAGCAATTCGTAGACACCCGCCAGCAAGGACGTGCTCATCTACTACATCCAGGTAAGGACGGCAGAGTAAATATCAGTAGGCATGTGCGAATATTCGAGCTTGTCAAATAGTAGAACGAATACAGTTGAACCCATTTACAAGAGATGCAAAAAGTTGCATTGTAGAGCAATTCGTATACAGCTGATTCCGGATATATCAAACTCGGATATATAGAATTATTGGCTATATCTAACTGTTCAGAAATCCCCTTGAATTTCCCATGCAAAAGTGTGGGACCGGTGCACTCGTATATCAAACTCTCGCACAGCGGGGCATCTGCTATATTAAAAGCTGCGCCGTGCCAAAGCTTGGAATATGTTTTTTTCCTAGCTAATATTGATCAATTTACGGCTGTTTTCTAACGAGTTTCAATCCTTTTTTGCGCACAGGTGACAACAAGGCAGTGTTATTTCAGCATGCTGATCTGGTTCATTATGTGGTGCTTGCGAGTGCACCGGTATGTTTGATGCGCGATCTGCAGGTCTTAAAGTACAGCTGTAGTGTTTTTCAAAAAGACCGATTGCTGAGGACACCAAATTGAGAATGCAAGTGACTCGGCGATCTCGTTGAATGTTTGCATTCCCTTCTTTGTTTGTTAGTGCATAATGGCATGCGATGGGCATGCGAGCCTCAAAAGCATGGCCTTCGAGATGTGCAACCTTGTTACTTATATGTAGCGTTTTCGGTTTTAAAACATATGTCTCGGAAACTACACTGTTTCTAGCTTTTCGCATCAAAGCAGCTGGAAGCAGCGGCTGCCAGCTACAAAGCCACAAGTGATATCGATATCACTAACATGTCAACGGTGGGAACTCCGCGTTGCCTTTTGCGGCTTGTGGACTTGTGTACTTCTCTACTTGTTCCTGATAAATCCTTATTCGGCAGTTGAACAGAATGTTGACCTGCTTATAGCTATAAACATTATAACTGGTGCTTGGAGCAATGTCAAGTAAAGCACCATCGTAAACTTTCCTTGCGATCCAGGTGACGACTTGGGGTGTGTCATGACGGTTGATAATGGCATGCGGTTCCTCAGTGAAATGTGCGACTTATCAGCGTTTTGGGGCACCATCTCGTACAGTGAGAGATGTCATCAGTGCAGATGACGACATAGCTGTTGCTGACTGGATGCCGAGATCATGGTTGCCATTGCCACGGAAATGTACCCGTGCGATTATGAATATGCCACTGCTTTCACTGCTGCCGGAACCAACCTTTTACCGCGCTATAAAGTTTGCATCGGCGTTCTGTGTCAATAATGCTGTTGAGGCCGAATGGCAAAGGGCAGCCGCGCCGACACCGAGCTGCTTCCAAACAGACCACTTCGTTCTCCTCTTCCTCTCTTCACACGTTGAAGCTTCAGCGTAACAATATTGAGCATGTGGCCTCGCGTGTCAGAGAATCGAAGCACGCGATGTGTGGTTCTTACAACTATTCAAACTCCGAGTTACAAAAATTTAACGCTTGTGCCGCCAAACACTTGTGCCGCCAACAAAATGAATTCGAAAGTGGGGGGGGAGTCCAGTTAGAGAAAGCATCATTGTGGAAATTCGTCGACTACTTCTCAGACTGCCTCAATGATGTGCATTACATAGAAACTATTTCGAGTCGGGTCTAAAATTTTACTTGCTGAAAGACACAAATCATTCAATTTAACGGGCAAGCACCCGATTTCAAGACATCGCAGTCGAATTGCAAACCACCATTAGAATGCTACACGTGCCACCCTCGTTTCAGTTAACAATAGCCACCACAAGGAGTTTCGTGGATTTCATACAAAACCGCTAGTTACATAGCACACGACTGCTACCAAAATACAACCAGCACTGATTAGGCCTAGCCTGCCGTACGGCGTGTTCCCGCGAGATGTTTGTCCAAGACATAAAGACCGTGCGTCAAAAGATTTCCCTCAAGCACTGAACCAAGAACAGCATGTGTGGTATAAAGTTTGCGTTCACAGTTGGGAGATCAAGGACGACGAAAACCCGCCAAGCCTATGCAAGACTGTGCCCTGGCAGCAAAGGTGAAAGCTTGCGGCATGAAGCCAAATATTTTGTAAATTTACGGACGAGCTACCAAACGCGATATTTGTAGCAAGCTCGATAACGACGCTTTTCTCTACAGAAAACTCCAAAGCACACTTCATGAGGATGGGGTTGAACTTGCCATGCTGAGCCGCGCGTAGCCGGCGGCAAGCGGCCGGAGCCGTGCTAGCAATGCTAGTACACTGTAGCCGCGGTTGGCATTGATGCAAAGGGTTGCCTACGCAACAGCCCTCCTCCCTTACTCGGTGATACCACCCAGCATGCTGCGTTTTTTTCCCCTTCCTCTACCCTTTATTTTTTACTTCGCGTCCCCTCTTCCTTCATAACAACCTCTTTGTTCGCTCCCCAGTGGTGGGCTCGCCTCTTTGTAGATGCACTCTCGCTATTTTGTCACAATGATTTTCCGGCAACCGTATTGTAACCGGTGTTTCGTATTTGGGGGACTGCACATTAAGCGGTACTGTATGCATATATGTGATGTTTTGTGGGAGCGTAAAGAGGAGTTGAAAAAGACTGCATTGTAAGCGGCCCTTGACTATAATTGGCTACGTTGTAAGCGGTCTGCTCTGTAATATGCAGTATATACTATTTGAATTCAATTTGAAATTATTTACCGAAGTCGCTATTCGCTATGAATGTAGCATTCATTATTCGTACAAGCATCGAGCTCCTGGCTCGAGGCTAGTTGGTATTTTATACTTGAAGTGATTTTCGTTTCGCATGCTATAGCATCTGTTCTAGATCCTCTTGTCTCTCCTTTAGGTTGGCTTCAGGTCGACCATGTATGCCACGTTTGTACAAACGCTGGCCTTCGACTTCGGTGGCTACCCCGTCCTGATTCGAAACTTTAGCGTCGACACGGTGGCTCCAGACACTCTGAGCACAATTGAACGCAGCCGCCGTCTCATTCTGACGGGTACAGGACGCTGGAACGCAGCCGCCATTGATCTCGTAGCCTTTACGGAACGAAGGAGGTATGTGACTGTTTTCTGGCATGACAAATTTCTGCCCAAATGAGTTGATAGATGGATGACTTAAAGTTAAACTCGTCCATGCAAGATTTGTTTACATTGAATGATCCATGAGTCATCGTTATCAGTGATTGAAATCATCGATATCATCGAGTGATTGAACCCGCCACAGTGGTCTAGTGGCTAAGGCACTCAGTTGCTGACCCGCAGGTCGAAGGATTGTATCGCGGCCGCGACGGCCGCATTTTCGATAAAGGCGAAAATGCTTGAGAGACCCGTGTGCTTAGATTGGGGGCACGTTAAAGAACCCCAGGTCGCCAAAATTTACGGAACCCCCCACTACGGCGTCTCTCATAATCATATGGTGGTTTTGGAATGTTAAAGCCTAGAAATGTTTATTATTATTAATGAGTCATTGAATCACTGAATGGTCCTAGTCGTAGATAACAGTCATCGATATCAGTGAGTGGACCGAATTGTTAATCCTTGTGGGGGACACCGCCCGTCGCCAAGAGTGGAGGCGGGTGTAGTGTGCGGATGGTGCAGCAGCAAGGAAAACTTGTTCTCAAGAGGAAAAAGAGCGTGTCATCTAGCATCATTGAATTACGTAGTGTTCATAGCACTATTGAATAATGTCTGTGACTGTAAACTCATGCTTGGTAGCTTAACGTGTTGTCCTTGTTGCAGTGTCAGGGCACAGAGCCTGCTAGAGATGTATCCGGCTCCCGACATGGACACGTTTCAGCTGACGCAGGCAGTCATAGGCGAGGTGCTGACTCGGGAGAATTACAAGCCCCGGATGCACGAGCTGCTCTATGTTGAGGAGATGGCACGTGCCGACATCATTGCCCAGTAAGTTGGCTGATGTGGATTCTGGTTAGGGTGGCACATCAGACCTGTGCACCACTTCTCAACCTCAATCCTTTTCCTGTCCGGTCTTCTTCGTTGAAAGCGATACGGATTGTTTTATTTGCTTTTTTAATTCTACGTGTTTTGTAACAACGTGAGAAATTTATTCGAATATGCTTCATACGAGAGATACAGTAAAAGCTCGTTAATTCAGATTTCACGGGACCAGAAATACTGTCCAAATTAACCGAATGCCGAATTAACGAATGAACAGGGAAAACAACATTTAAAATCAAGCTGCAGAAGCATACCTTTATCATGCGAGGCTGTATCTCCTCGCATGATTCTTCGTCGGAATCGTGGTCTTCATGGGCACCCGTGAAATCATTAATAATCTCTTGATCGGTCAGGAGACCACTCGTGGCGACACCATGATCAATCGCGATGTAGTCCTGAAAGGTCACATCTGTGGAAAGGACAGCATCGAAAGTCGGGCAGTCATCGTCGGTGGACTCGGCTGACACCTCCTCGATGCCATCGTCAGCTACTGCTGCATGCTTGGGCCTCACAAAACCGCTGTGCTGAAAACAGTTGGCGATGACTTGCGGCGGAGTGTTTCTCCACACGTGGGCGATGATGTGCACTGCGCCGAGTAAGTCCATTTGATACAACTTTCCAGCTTCTGAGCATAGGATCATTCGCTCTAGCAGGTGCTTGCGGTACTTCGACTTCACGTAGTGAATGATACCCTGGTCCATCGGCTGAAGAGCAGACGTAATGTTGGGCAGCAAAAAAACTACTTTGATGCTCTTCAGTTCGACTGTACAGTCATGGGCACTGCAGTTGTCAACAACCATAATTATCTTGTGGTCCTTCGACGTGAAGTGCCGGTCCAACTGCTGCAGCCAGCCTTGAAAAATGTCCGCTGTCATCCATGCCTTCCTGTTCGCTGTGTACTCGACAGGAAGGCTTTTGACGTTCTTAAAACAACGTGGCTTAAGCGCCTTCCCGACGACAAGTAGTGGCAAGTGCTCCGTGCCAGTCATATTGGCGGCAAGAAGCACAGTTATCCTTTGCTTGCACTTCTTGCCACCAATGCACGCGTCCCCTTTGAAAGTCACCGTCTTGTCGGGCAGAGCTCTGAAAAATAGAGCAGTTTCATCTGCATTGAACACATCACGTGGTTCATATGCGGTGATGTGCTCCAGCAGCTTCACATTTCTCCACTCGGTGGTCACGCTTTCGTCAACACTGGCCTTTTCGCCGCACACACTCCTGAAGACAAGTTCGTGTCTCTCTCGAAACCTCGCAAACCACCCTTCTGACGCTTTGAAAGATTCAATGTTCATCATTGCAGCGTACTTCTCACCTTGCGCCATGATGAGAGGTCCGCACAAAGGCAGATGCGCGTTGCGACAGTCAGTAATCCACCGGAGCAAAGCTTCTTCGAGCTGGGGATGAGCTGCAGTTCGCAACCGCTTTCTAGAGGCATGAAACTTCTCGCTTTCGAAGGCTTGTCGAATCTGTTCATTTTTCACGTACGTTTCCAACATGCTCCGCTTCACGTTGTACTTGGTCATAACCTGCTGTCGCGATTCGTCGTTCTTCAGTGCTTCCAAAATTTCCACTTTAGTCGCCAAGTTCTTCGCGTCGTAGTTCTGCCGCTTTTTCGGCGTTGCCATCACTGTAGCGCACGATGGTGGTGGCATGCAAATACGGTCACAATGGAAGAAAAAGAGAACTCCGCAAGAAGAGATGGTTCCGACACGACAACACAAGGGAAAATGGCGTCGGAGGCGCCGAGTGGAGAAGGAAGAAGACGCCAACATTCGGTGACGCTGCGATCGCCCCCACTAGTTGATAATGATGGCGATGCCACTCAGGTTTCGGTTTCACTCCAGTGGTGCCAGCGCTGCTTTATCACACTTTTGTGTAGCAGCAGCCGTCAGCATTTGTCCGAATTAAGCGGTGCGGAGCCGAATTCCGACGAAATAACGAAGGTTTGGTCCCATAGATTAACATGCACTTTGGCCGGGACCAATAGAGCCGTCCGAATAATTCGAATTTCCGAATTAACGGGTGTCGAATTAACGAGCTTTTACTGTATGTACAAAATAACATTTTCGAAGGTGTGCAGAAGATTGGCTTCATCGCACTGCGCTACGAAAAGCTTTTCCAGTGTTCAGTGTAGAAAACATATTTTTTGAAATTTGAAAAGTAATGTGAAGGGGCATGCAAGCATGTGAAAACGTGCCTTGGATGCACTGGTGGAGAATTGCTTACATCTAACAGCATCCACTGCTGAAATGCTTAGACACAGTCGTTTTTCTAATCCAATGATATAGGAAGCCAAAGCAACGCATGATGGCGCTGCGACTCCGGACAGGCAGCGCTATATTTGGTAGAAAAAGTAGAAATCGGAGATGTAGATGGCGCGTTTTTTCTTCGCTCCAATGCGGCTTCACAAAGATCTCTGAGCTGGACAAGCACTTTTGAGAAGCGAATCGAACCAAAGGAGTAAAGCTCATTAGTCAAGTTTATGATGTGGAGCACACGACGGAAGACGAGGACGCCCGAGTCACTGTGAAATGCATTTCTCGTGTCCTCCGTGATAATACCATGTACGACGTATGTCTCGAGGTAAGTCCCATTCTACCGACATGAAGCCGCGTACTCTGTCGATGGGCTGTGTTGACATTTATGGAAAGCATATAAATGTTGTTTTGATGTGGTATCTAGCAGTAGCAGCCGTGTACTGTCATGTGCAAACGTTTGCAGCATAAAAATCAATAAAAACTAAAGTTATAGGGTCATTGCATTAAAATGTCCGAGAAGTTTAAGTCATGTCCTCCGTGCCGTGCATGACCCGCTGACGTCGCCGCGAACCAGCAAGCTAAGTTTAACCACAGCAAGTCAAGTTGAAGTGCTCACCTTTTTTTTTTTCCGGCTCTTGTGTCATGCTTGCTCTATCTTTCGCAGATGTGGCTGTGTTCGCCGGCTGTGACTAGATGGGAAACTGATACAGCTTTACACGTGGAGAGTGTCCCTCTGCATTGTTTTGGCAACACAATACTTCGAACCTCGACGCCGCTTCTGTGAGGCTGCTTCTTCCATCGTGGAAAGGCAACTTTTCACAGCAAGCATCTCGGTCTAGCGCGCCAAGCTGACGGCACGGCGCCCAAGTTTGCCGCACCACAGACACACCTATACCGCACCGACTGCAGAACGCATTGCGCGCGTGTTGCCCGGGCTCCCGTTTCGGGGAAACACACTCACTCGCCTGCACCTTCTCCCGCGTCTCTCCTCAAGTGTTCTGAAGCTCGCCGCCAGGGCCAGGCGGGGCTTTGTCATCGCTCCGCAAACTTGAGCTTTGGTTCTCTATAGAGAAACAATACTGCTGTGTGTAGTTGCTGCCACACTTGCGGGAGAACTGAAATATTTCTTCCTTTGACACAGCTTTGGCAAACAAGCCATTTTGGTTCTTTTTGTTTTTTCCCGAACGAAGTTGTTGCGAAAAAATTGACTGTTCTAGATGTATTTCTGCGCCGCTGTGGGTAGCAGTGCTGTAAAAGCCAGTGGAGTGACTGGTGCAGACGAACTGGCATGGCGGTATCTGGGTAGTGTTCATATTCACTAAACGACCATCTGCATCACGAGGCCGCACAATCTCCCATTGGTGCATTTGTTGAGTTCACTGAGCAGGGGTACTAACATGGAGGAAGTAAAAAAAGAAAGGAGGGAGCATTACGTCACACGAGTGACTTAACCGTGTTGGCCTAACATGCGACCAAAATGTCAGAGCGTGTGGTAGGTTTTACAGTCGAACGCCCCCACAATGAAACTGGCAGGGTGCGGAAAATATTTCGTTTAGTGAAATCGAACAACAACAAAAAAATAGCCGACCTGAGCTAGCAAGACAAAGGGCTTTTATTGCCAAAATTAGGAAAGTGTAGGCTGCTTCCTTTTTTTTTTTAGCAGCATCTAGACGCAATTCTGACACATGCAAAGTGACACCATGTTGAAAAGCGCTAAATGAATGGCCTCAATGGCTTTCGTGAATAAACCTAGCAGTCGCACTATTACACTAACACCAGCAGCTGGCCGCCGACACAAGGTATTCGACAATGATTAAATGCAGGCGTGGTATGTGGAGCGGTAACTTATGCCATGTTTTATGCTATTCTTATCATCCACTAATAGCGGATAGCTTATCTTGTTGATAGCGCCAACGAACAGCCACTCTGACCAAGGACCACACTGGTCAAACACGAAAGTAACTAAAAGCACTGGCATCAAAAAGGCACCATTCCGCGATTGCACCCAGCAGCAGCGTGTAAGAAACAAAGCTTCAGGCTTAGATTGTGTGCGGCTCAGAAGCATGGCAGTGGCAAAGGAAGGGCAGTCTCAATGCCATCGCTATTGAGTGATGGTGGCTTCCTTCCATGCTTAGTAAACAGCGGCAGTTCCTGGCGGTGCCAACGTGCATTTTAGACTTCGCAGCTGTATTTTAGGGGTGAAGCTTCTTGCGACGTGGGTCTGTCGCTCCTCCATATGTATGTATGTATGTATGTATGTATGTATGTATGTATGTATGTATGTATGTATGTATGTATGTACGTATGTATGCATATATGTACGCATGTACGCACGTACGCACGTAGCCACCGGTGGCATGTACCCGCTCTAGAGCGGGTATGTGTTGCGAGATGGGAAATGGCAGTACTTAGAGTGTTCACTAAATGGACGCACGGACGGACGGACAGACAGACTAGCAGACGGACGGATGGATGGATGGATAAACGCGTAAAAGGATGGACTCGTGGACAGATGGACGGACGCATGGATTGACGCACGGATGGCCGCACGGACAGACAGAAGCAAAAATGAATGGATGGATGGAAGCGCGAACGGGCTGGCGGAAGCTTCGCCCCACTCATCATCATTCACTCTGGGGATATTCTGTGTTTTTTTTTATGTTCTAAAAGTACATCAAAATGTTCAAGATTGTGTTTACTGCATGACATCAAATATCTGAGCCTGTAATTGCATGGCTGTATTTCGTTGAAGTGGAACGGCAGAAGAAAAAGTGTTGGTTGTGAGAATATATATTCATTTACTCCTATGGATTGCTGACAGGGAACCGAGAATGTTTCGTTGTAGTGAAAATTTCGTTGATGCGACGTTTCTTGTAGCGGGGTCGGACTGTAGTACTCTCGGTGTTGTTTCGTTTTCAAACCTCCTGCGTGAGCCAGCGATTCTGCGCCGAACAAGCGTGTTTCGGATAAAAGCTACTGGGCACCACGCTCTGAAGTCTCTGCAAGTCTCGTTTCTTGCGTGATCTTTTTGCACGAGATCACGCACTGGGCCGACACTGCTGACTTCAAAACAGGTTGGCTTGCAAAGGCTGGTGGCCTAATGTCATGCTCCCCCCTTTCTTTTTCTTCCTATTTGGGCCATAATGACCATGGTTATGAATAATACAAAGAGCCACAGCTGGAATCACGGATATTACAAACTCTACATTAAGTGGAAGTTTTTGGTGTAATATAATACTTCTTTAATGAGAGTAGACTATTCTTGAAATGAGAATGCGGCGGTTGATTAGTTGTAATGATTTGTTGCAGCAGGATATATGAAAGGCTATGTCATATTGAATCTAATTGGTTTGCATCTGATAAGCAGTTAGAACTTTCATGATGCACTGTTTCCAGTCACACACAGCGGTTGTGACCAGTTCTGTGGCTTTTTCTGGGTTGCTTTCTTACTTCAGTGCATCCGTGCCGTCTCTCCATGTTGTGTTCATTTTGGCGGTACGTTCCTCCCACAGGTACAATGTACGGGTGTTACTTGACATCACCGACAATCTGCAAACGTCGTCGGCCAACGCGACCGAGGCGTACTACGCCCAGGGGGGCGAGCTATTCGCCTGCCTGTGTCTTGACTCGGACATTACCGAGGATACACCTGCCGGCCGCCTGGTCCTGCAGAACTGCCAACTCGTCTGGCTGGCCCCTGTTAGGACGGCCGACACTGGGGAGGTCAGGCCGGCCAAGCCGAGGGTGAGCTGCATTGTGACGATGGCTTCACTGCATTGTTTTGAGACTCTTGGCCCGCTAGAGCCTCTTTGATTTGAATTGGAAGGGGACCAAAGCTTTGTGATAGGGTCTTCAAAGGCAATAGAGTCTTTTTCAGAAAACTTTGAGGTTGCTTGAGCTTTGCATTGAAGAGTAGACTGGGATAGCTTAATCAGACTGCATTTCTACTGCCATGGTGGTCTAGTTGCTACGGTGCCTGTATGCTGCCCCGGAGGTTGAGGGATCGAATCCCGGCCACGACGGTCACATTTTCTATGGAGGCAAAAAAAAGCTTGAGAGAAAGAGATGATTCATTAGAAGGTAGAGAGGTCAGCCTGAGCTAGTTCGCTCTAGCTTGCTACTGTGTGCAGGATAGAAGGACAGGGGAAAAAAGAAGTGGTGAAGGGCGTCAGAAACAAGTTATGCGTACAGTTAAATCTCGGAACGAACCTCACATTAATGAACTTTTCAGATTAACGAGCTCTAGTTTAGTTTCACATTCTATTAACAACGCCTCAGTGCAACGAACTTATGTTCTGAAATATGTAGCGACCACCAGAGCAATATGCAAGCAGACTACACAGCGAACGGACGCCTTGCTTCTCGGAACACGCGCAACGGTGGGGAGGGGAAAAAAATAATGAAAGGACAACATTCTTTTATTTCTTTTTGTTGAAACGTCGACGCTGAAGGTTTACAAATGCCGAGGCAAGGGCAACACGGCAGGGCAAAGTTGGCGAGGCAGAGTGGGGGTTGCGGAGCAGGAAGCATGGGTGCGGAAAACTGGAGACAGTGAGGGAGCAGAAACGAAACGCGTGGAATTTTCTTTTTTAGCTCTTTCTTTTCTTCGGAAAAGGCGATGAAAGCCATACGCCTCGAGCTTTTCTTTGTCACTTCTACATGGGCTTCAGGAAGCCTTGTCAGTTGTGTTCATCTTTTTTCAGTGATTAATTATCGCGTCTGCAAAGCAAGCCAGCGCTCACGCTGCGGTGCTACTGTAATGGGTTCATCTCTGCTTGCGACGAAAAAGCGGAAGCAGGTTTCGCTATGTGACAAAGTGGATCCCCCCACAGGAACATGGATGAGCTTGGAAGCCTTCGCGCTGCTAAGTTCATGCTGCACGCGTTAAAAAAAAACGGACTTGTTTAAGTAAACGTGCATTTTTTTAGTGTTCATTTGTGCATTTGTTTTTTCTCAGCAAAAGCGAGTTGAAGGACCCGCGGTTTTAAATGTAAGTCGTTTTGGTCGGTGGAAAATAAGCATTTATGGTTAATTTTCGTGCTTTCACTCTAACGACCTTTCAAAATAACGAACAAATTGTGGCACTCCCTGAAGTTAGTTACACCGAGATTTCACTGTATATGCAATCAAGACGTAGCACTGTGGCTTCGTAATTAGCTTTAGGTGCACGTTAAAAAACACTAGATGGTCAAAATTTACGAAGCCCTCCACTGCGGTGTTGCTCACATGGTGGTTTTGTAATGTAAAACCTCGCATATTATTCTTATCACTACCCTGACTTTGTTTCTTAGTGGACACAAACTGTGCTGCTAGGAAAGCCGAAGTGGGGATGCCCTCCGGCTTCTGTATCCATGCATGCAGTGCGTCGAAACATGACAAGGCAGTGCTGTTCAGAGCGCGTACGTGGTCCACCTGCACCATCTTTCGGGTGATAGTGAAACCTCTGCCATGCTGAAGCACTTCCAAGATGTGCGTACCACCAACAGTCAACAGCTAATTGACTTTGTTAATCTGGAAATTCGTTATAAAGGCATATTCCTGACACTATAGATATTGCAAGACTGTTCTTCAACATACTTCGTTATATTTAATATTTTGTTGTATCCGGGTCCATTATATTGAGGTTTGAGTTTATATAAAGAGCTTGCCGTTAGCCTGCTCGAGGATGTATGCGTGGCGGCCAAGTGGCTAATCGCATGGCGCTATGGAGCGAGGCATCGCCCATTTGAATCTCCTCTCAACCAGTGACGTAGCTCACAGCTGCACTGGAATTTCCATAAAGTGAGCCTAGCGCGATAGCGTTCAAATAGCATACAATGACTGTGCCGTAGTTTGTGCCTCACAAGACGCCATACATCCCTGAGTGGGCATCGCCTCATTGTCGGCGTGCATCATCAAGGGCAGGGAGCGGCGGATTGAGAGATGAATAGTGCACCGAAAGGTAGGAAACGTTGAGCACACTCATGGTAGGCTGCACCAGCTGACATGTAGCCAGCACTCGCCAAACGTCAGTGCACTGTAGTAAAAGAGGTGCGGAGGGGAGGGTGTTGCTGTGGACTTTGCTACAGAGTAGTTCGAGAGTGAAATTTGTCACTTGCATCGACGTAATACTAGTGTCACATGGGCACTTAGACCGTGATCACGGCCACACCTGACCAGCTGCAGCTACACAGTCCTTTTTAATCGCCATCTGTGCATCGCGATCTGGATTTGGCTGGTAACTACGGGCCGTAGTGGTGATTTAGGATTTTGTGTGTTTGTGTGCCTGCAGGGCATCTAGCCACGTAGTGGTTAAGCTGTGATTTGTTTATGTTGTAGGTGTATGAGCTGCCCATCCAGCTGGCCAAGAAGGACCGTGTCTACATTCGACTGACGAGAGTGTGTGTGAACGAATTCAAGCTGGAACCCGATACGAGCATCGAGGCAGAGGTGGGGGTGGCTTCTAGCAATACTTGACTACTTGAACGCGAGATTTTTTTTGGCAAGAAGCTTTCCGAGGTATCCATATGATTTTATTTGTGCTTTGTTCCACAAACGAATGGTTGTCCATTTCTCTTTCTTAATCCTTCTGCCACCTCACGGAATTCCGCAGAACCGATTTGAAATAATTAAGCTTGTGCAAATATTTGAGCAGTTCGAATATTCAAACGAGTATTGCAGTATTCGAACTTGCCCTGATTCGAATTTAATTCTTGGAAATTTCAAAGTATTTGTAATGATCGAATAGGCAAAACACACATTCAGCTCGGCTGGTAAAGGTGGTTTCACTGCAGTGAAGGGGTGCTGTACCGTGAATGCACTTAATCAGAGAAAATCCACATTGCTACGAATCTCCATTTCAAGGTTAAATGTGAATGTTATTCTCACAGCACTGATCACTTTTTAAGTTTAAAAACCATTTATACCGGCTTATGTGCCATAAGTTGTACCAGGAGTCATTCTACCAAAAGTCAAATCTCACTACCTTTCAAAGTTGTTTCTATGGATGGACAGACGAACAGAATGCGGTCTATTTTTAAACCATATGCTCAATATGTACAGTATAGACCGCCTGTAACGTTAGTCGCGGCAGTCGTGAATATCCGTGCTATAAGCGGTACTGCTCTATAACCGAAACAATCTTTTGCAAGAGCCGCACTTGTGCAAAACGTGTTGAGCATGCAGTCTCGCGCGTCCGAAAATCAAAGCAAACGATGCACGGTGCTTATAACCATTTAAATTTTTACATGTTCAAAAAATCTACCGTCTAGACGTTCGCACCTGCGCATCGACTAGAGATGACGCTGAGCCTTGAACACAACGGTTGGGCATTGTACGGCTCTATGGCGCTTCTCCCCTAAAACGCAAATTGTGCTCTCTGGCAGACTGGGCTTAGAAAGCTTTGTGTTTGCTTTGTGCAGCCTGCGCTGGTGTGGCTGGCCAGGGATGTTGCTTTGCTGGGATTGCAATACATGGCATGACACATAGTGCAAATATGGTGACACACTTTGGATTCACTGTGGTCGGTTCTGTAGAGTTTTCTTCTTTAAAGAGGCGCAAAGGTGTTAGAATCATTTGCTTATGACAGTGGTGGTGCGGGCTCGGTTGTGTTTACTTTGAAGTAGACTGAAGCGAACCTGGGACGTGTGCGTTTGCAGCAGTCAGCTTCGCTGTGCGTCCTAAAATATATGTGCGAGTTATTTCAATGCCGATAATGTTTTTTGCATATATCATGGTTCGATAACAGATTTTGCTTGATTTTTGGTGGTGCAAAATTTTTGGGAATGCAGATATTTTTGCTGTGACATCAAATTCAAATCGCCATATTCATCTGTAATATGCTGGTAACATGCTCGGTCTGTGTACTGGGCGGCATTTCTTAGTCTGGACTGCCTGGTATGCATGTGTTATTCAGGTTCAGTTCCTGCTCGATCGGGTGCCGATGTGCGAAATGCATTACGCCGTGGACAAGTTGCCCATGGCCAGTCTTGTGTTTCCGGACTTCAGCATCCAGCCTCCACGTTGCCCACCGTGAGTACATTGGGAAAATTCTTTTTCTTGTGTTTAACGGGTGCGGTTAAAACTAGGTGTACTTAACTTAGTGCAGAGGTCAATGCTGCTGTCCAGAACGCTGGGGTGTCGCACATGGTGTTACAAAGGTGGTTCGAAATATTGTTCGAGTATGTGCGGCCCCTGTTATGGGTCTGCCTTGCTTTTTCTTTCCTCGTTTATAGCTATGGCTACAATAATTGTTTTAGCTTTCAGAAGTGCTTTCAAGGATGCAGAAAAAAAAAGCCCGATACATGTGAGGCAGGCTGCTTAAGATGGCGACATCATTAATTGGAAATAATCTTGGTGCATCTTTTGCATTGGGTGCCAAGCTGGCAGATTGCAGGTGACTTCATTTCGTTTTTTGTTTATTTGCTGTTTTCGTGGGCCTACACTACTGACTGTGCTTCCGACAACCAGTACTATTGTGGTAGCTTTGGCGATATGGCAAAAAAAGAGGGCAAGGAAGTAATTGGGCTTGTGATTGCTACACAGGGCGATTGGCGAGGGCTTCAAGCTTGCCTCATCCTATTGTGGTTCTGTGGCTTGAAAAGAACCAATTTGAAAAATTATTGAGGCGCAACGCTTTTTATTGAGCACGCAGCTACTTCCAGTGTCTAACAGCAACTTCTTATGTGACCTAGTGAGGTTCCCTATTTGAAGTGAATTATAAACCAAAGAAAAGCGGGGAGTACATCACATTTTTCTTTCTTTTGATCCACACTCTCATTTCGCCTAACAAATCTTCACAATGTCGTACTCGTTCTCTACCTTCCTGCCACCGCACCCAGGTCTTCAGGGCAGTTCTTTAATTTCTTCGGGACATTGGACGACTGTCTGTGGAATCCACTTGCTGCGTCCTCGGCCATGGACACAATTTTCCTATCCCTATCCCTTCTTTACCTCTCTCTCTCCCTGTTCCCCTGCAGGCACTGAGACGTGCTCCCATTGAGGCTGCAAAAACATCGTCTCTTCCTCTTCTTGGCCTCTCCTATTCGTCCTTTAACCACTCGCACCATGTCAGCACTGTGTTGTATGGTGGTGGTTGCGTCTCATTTCATTCCTGCTGGTGGTTCTTTTTCGCAAGGTGGTTCAACTACAAAGGACTTGGCTGGACCTCATTGAGTTTGGAAAGGTCAATGCTGCCCTGTGACATGAATAAAGGTGTCAGACCACACTCGACAACAAAATGTGAGCGTAAATAGTGTTCATAAAGGCGCCAATTTCGAAAATAGGCATCTACAGGCACCTATTGGCATTTAGGCACAATAGTCGAGAATAGGCATTTGTAGGCACGATAAAGAAAGACACTGTGAAAGCATTTTGTAACCTCTAATTCATGGTCGTATGGCGAAGGGGCACGATAGGAACGCAAAGAACAAGGTAGGCATTTGCCTATGATCCGGTCTTTAGGGATGAAGAGAGCACACAAGCACTTCTCGCTCATTAGTGTCAGAACACACAACCACTTCTGGCACCAACAAGCTAGGCTTGCTTGTGTGCTCTGTTCTCTGCTTATAATAAGCCAATTTGGAAAGCTCCCGTAGCATAATGCTCATCATTGGGCTCGCAACAATTTCCAGTGCTCAACTACAATGTGTTAGGCGACCTGTTGAGGGCACGTAACGTAAATGGCAAATTGTCGCATATCTGGGGGACAACATATAAGTGAAGTTCTTCTGTACCTCGCATAAGTTTCAGGGGGATGAAATGTTAATGCAGCGAGAAGGCAATTTCACTGACACCAAACATTTAATCTCCAGAATTTTATTGTATTTATACTTAATAATTATGATTGTTTTAGACTGATTTGTAGCTCATGGTTAGTAAATCTGGGTTCTATTAAACTAGCAGTTGTTGCTCTTTTATTTACTGCTTGTGTGTCGTTTGGTGGGTCTGGTCAGGCCACTTGTGTTACATTTTTGGCAACCACGCGAGTCCACTCAAAGGGGTACTAAAAAAACGGAATTATTTTTTGCGTATTAGTGAAGTACAGTTTTCTTACTGCCACAAAATGCTTGCTGAAGAAGAAAATGCATGAAAAGAAAATGCAACTGGATATGCCACCTTGAGAGTCCCACAACAAACACTGTGACGTCATAGATTTTGAAGGTGTCTACTGGGTCTTCTATAGCTTGTAACCTATAAAAATGGAAGTACATCGACATCTATGGCTGTCATAGTCTTAGCACCCGAAGTTTAAAAACATTTCAAAATTTTTGACGCCACGTGTGAAGACTTTGGCGTGAAATTTAAACATGAAACTTCAACCATGCTTTTCTCCACTGATAATAAACTTAAGTTAGTGAAAAATGTGTCACTAGAGTTCCCAGAGTGAATTTGTCAATTTAAACCAAGTTATTGTGTCTCTTTAGTGTCCCTGTAACAGCGTTGGCTGCTGCCTTGCAGGGAAGAATCTTTGACATGGGACCCACGGCTCAACGAGCAGCAGCGTCAGGCAGTCGCGGCCATCACGGCGCCTCGCACGGTTCCCAACGTGCCACCCATTCTTGTGGTGGGACCCTTCGGCACTGGCAAGACCTTTACGCTGGCAAAAGCAATGCTTGAGGTTGTCAAGCGGACGCCGGATTCGCGGGTGCTGGTCTGCACCCACTCCAACAGGTTAGTGAGTGGTCTCGTCAGGTCACCTTGCTTATGATACATCGAGGATAATACATAAGGCACTCGGGTGCCGCTATCTTCTGCTGTTTTGTCCTTGTGTTCAAAGTGGTGTGCAGTAACGTAGCAATGAAACTGGCAAGGCTGCAGCCCAATTTAACGAAGTGTATAGGGCGGCCTACTCAACAAACCAGCAATGGTGGGAGATGAGATGGCTGCAGGAAGGCTTGCAGGAAGGCGTACATTGTGCTTCCACACTCAAATCTTATTATAACAAAGTGGTATGTTACAAGAAAATAAGTTCGTTACATTCGAAAATTCATTATAGAGGTTTATTTCTAGCACTATATCTGTTGCAAAAATATTTTTCATTTGCAGGGGTGCAACAGCTGTGCCAATTATGCCAATTTGATGCAATTCTTGATAGTTGCTCCGAGCTGCGCCAAACCCTTGAAATTTGCTGAAATTGCTCCACGCAGCGCCAAAATGGCCAGCCAGCCTCAAATTTTTTTTCAGGTGCAGTGCTTCGCTGCTTCTTCTCTTGCCGTTTGCTCTCTCTCCTCCCTGTGCCCCACTTCCCCTTCCGCTCGCATCTCACTCTGAACCGTTCGCTCGCTGGGCGCCTCTCAAGAACATCTGGAAATGTGTGCTCGAGACGCTGCTGTAAAACACCAACGCTGAGCCGAGAACGCTGTTTGTTTTGTTCACTTCATAGTATTTTTTAACCGTGGACGCCAGCTACTACAGCTGGAAACGCATATTGTGCTTCTCGCAACAGAAAAAAGCCACGTGCCAAACAGCGCCATTGGCTGCACAGTATAAGAAAAAAAAAAAACTCTATTCTTTTAACGCTGGGTTCTCAGGTGTGAAACGCCGTTATGAACGCTATGCAATGCATTCGCATTTCCTCATGATTTCCTTCGGGGAAGTGGGGGCATTTTTTTTTTGTTCTCAAGTGGGAGCAGGGAAGAGGCTCCAACCACTGGGCTTTGACGCGTTGCTCAGTATTTATGAAACGGGTTATAGAGGGAATATGTATCAACTAGGGGGAGCACATAAGAATTTATTCAGTTATTCTGCTTAATAAATTAGCTAACATTAGCATTTATGGTCGCCTCGTTTTGACATGTTGAAAGGGAAAAAATGCATGTGAACTTTGGAGTTACACAACCTTTGGTCATCAAAATTGATCCCGTGACTTAACCATGGTGTGCCTTGAAACCGTATGCAGTCGAATGCGGATATATTGAACTCGAAGGGGATCACAAATTAGTTTGATATATGAAAAATTCAATATAAAAAAATACAGGCCCCGAGATCTTACCTGTAGCGTATCATCACTTACAATAAGCGCATTCAAGAATGACAACTAATGAAAAATAAAATATCGCTAGTCTTGGCCTGCTTCTTTGTTTTCGAAATGTTAAAGATGCTAGTCTTGATCTTATCAAGCATGTCCAGGTGCGACAACCTGGTTCCCTCCATGCGGCTGATACAATGTTGAATTATGCTGAACGCTGCCGCCACTTCAGTGGTGGAGTACGCGCGTGTAGCCAGCGCCTCATCCGGATGATCCTCCTCGTCACATGAGCTGTTGGTCTGGACATTGCTGTCCGCTTCCACGAAGTCGTCCGCAGACGCTTCGTGTGGAACTGCCGCCGGGAAGTGGGACGACAGCTCGCGAAACGCGTCACATATGCGCTCGTCATCGTCTTCACCGGTTTCCGCAAGTTCCGACGTCTCGAAGCTTGCCTTGCGGAAGCAGTTGAGCACTGTGTCCGTCTTCACGTCTCGCCAGGCATTGAAGATCTCCGCGGGATAAAACTTCGCGGAGATTTCCGGTCACTCCTTCGTCATCCACAGCTGGATGTCTTGGTTGCTGACAGCTCCACTTTTGCCAAAATTGGTTTTGCCAATGATGTTGTAGCGCTGCTTAAGGGGCACACGAGTCTTAAAAGCGAAAAAAAAAAATGGCAAAAAAAATGATTTTTCAATTTTGTTGGTATTGCATTCAGGACATCTTCCTGCAAGTTTTCACAAAATTCTAGGCTTGTAGAATGTACAGTTTTGCCAGGAGAAAATATTTACTTCGCGAACTATCTAGTTTCACTCACAGGAAATGCCCTAAATCAGGCAGTTTTGTGCCGCCGCCAATTTTTAACCGTGCCACGAAGCACAGCCTTCTTGGTCTCGTTTGAAACGGCATCTTTCACTCTTTTATTCCCGCCAAACGCGAGCTTTCAGCAATACGCTGCGACTGAACAATCTAAAAGAAAGAAAAAATGGAACCTAGCTATCTCATTAGCCCACTGCCCTTCGTGACAAAAGGTCGCCTCCTCATTGGTCCTTGGTTGTTTTCGGCTGCTTCAAGCAAAAACTAACTGCCACCATTTTGAAATAGGCCTTCATTGTCGATCGTCGTGGGCGATGCCTAACGAATATCGGAAATTTGGCACGGTGCACAAGTTCGGCGAATCGCAATGGAAGCGTGTTGCGAAGAGAAAACATGCATCCCTGCCATCGACAGAACCAACAGTGCACTTTTAATTCGCATCAGGTAGCACTACTGTGCCGGAACGCGAACTGCCAATTGACGCACATGCCATGGACTTCACTTCGACGGTCGTGACAGCGGCCATGCCGGACACCGAAGCTGCGCGGCCTGAGCGCACAAGATTGAATTCTGCTTTTTTAACAAGCGCAGGTTGTGCTTTGCGCGAATAACAGACGCTATAGAGGCTTTCCGAACTGTCGTCAGTATCAGCAACAGAAAGGAAAATGAAGTGTATTGCGAGTAACAGTGCCCCGAGTTCGACCACGACGTATAATGTTGTTGACTTGGACATTGTGAATTACCTTTTCGAAGTTGGTAGTTGCCAAGTATGTCGTGGCAAACTTACTACTGCAAGAGACCCGCGTGAGTACGGCATCACTGTGAAACTGATAGTGTTCTGCAGAAATTGCGGTGAACTGCGATCGCAGTGGAGCTCACGGCGAGTTGCTGGCTCGGCGACGTGTAATCCCTTCAAAATAAACATTCTCGCTGCACGGGCGGCGCAGAGCACGGGGAACGGACAGACTGCCCTAAATGATATTTTTTCCACAATTGGAGTTTCCCACAGAGGTCTTCACAATAAGGCTTACCAGCATTACTTGAAGACCATGCTGAACCCAGCAATCGCAAGAGAATGCACTGAGAGCATTGAAAGGGTGTTGCCGAAGTGAAACTGCTGTACAGCGAGCTCAATTTTGGAAATCCGGGTAATATTGCTGTTAGTTTTGATGGCACATGGCACGCATGCGGTCACTCTTCCGACATTGGAGTGGCCACTGTTATTGAACTACAGTAAAAGCTCGTTAAGGGGGGATGCTACACCTTCCAAAAACTCTTTTATTTTTGCGAGTACCTCAGTCAAATTTGGAGAGCCTATGTAGATTTTACTGCTGATTTCAAAAATCTAATTCTTTTTTTGCTGTGACAATTAGTTTTAAAGATATAATGAACTGCGACTTTTTCAATTAAGGCCTAATTACCTAATTAACTGTAACTTGGATATTGATGTGCAATCTATAGAACCAATTCGGTATGTTCACAGTGTGCAATAAAGTATAAATCATTGTTCTGGGCTATTTCGAAGCAAAGTTGTGGGATGTTGAATATGACATGAAAAATTTCCCCATCTACACTTGAAACAAAAGATCCATTTAAAGAATTTTCTCCAAAAATTATTACAATAAAACTTACTTTACGACACATCCCCTGCATTTATCTTCGAAACAAAAAAGAAATCGTAATGATAACCCACATAGAACAAGAGATATTGCTCCGGCTTATATAATGGGAAGCACATGAAAATTGTCGTTTTGAGAAATCGAGAAAAAACGTGGGCACACATTTTTATTGCAGAAGATGCAACAAGACAACCTCAAAACGCACCAGAAGCATAGTCTGAATGCATTCTGTGCTCATGCCTCCTCTTCACTAGCTTCCGGAGTTCCAATGAGGCTGTTCTTTTCTTGTTGGAGACAATGCTGCGACGGTGGTCTTTTTCTCTCGCTCTCCTGGCACCAGTACTTGTCGCATTCATGTCCATTTCACCTAAGATTGCCGTTGCAGAATTCAAATTGCCCGTGTTGAAGCGCAGCACTGCTTCTGCAACAGCTGCTTCAACAGCAAACAGGGACGCATGGTGCTCCTTGGGGGCCAAACTCCAGATTACCGAATGTAGGCTCTCGTTGGAGTTCTGCGTTTTGCCGCGTTCGCACCTCTGAAGCAGGGCTCTTTCCGAAAGCCGGGTATAGACCGGTAGTAATGCCTCTGCCACGTCTTTCGGTAGATTGTAGGCATGCCTGGGGTCGGGCTCACCCTTTGCTTTTGCGGCATTGTGCCGACACCATGAAGTTTCACCAGCTGGGCACAGACTGTGGTCCGAGCATTCATCAGTGGAGGTGACGTGGCGGTATGTGGCCATCACAGCCTTTTGCATCTCGCCCACGTCACCTTCATGCGATTTCAGAGCCCGGCCATAATATGTGCTCAGCCTGGTGATCAGCTCACCTGTGAGCCTGCCTTTCCCACCAAGGCCTCTTTTCCCATCGCACTTTTGTTTCTGCACCAGGTTTCTCAATGCGGTGCCCATCCGTTTCTGTACATGATTAATACAGTCTTCCTTCTGCACGTCAATGTAACCATACACCTTGGCGTCTTGTATGGCGCAAAATGTCCTAGAGTCTCCATCAGACAGCATAGTTGTGTAGCGCAGGCCATGGCGTTCAAGCGACCTCTGAAATAGAATTAGAGCCGCCTCCACTTCCATTTGCCCCGCTTTGCTGTTCGTATTTTTTGGCATTTGTGGTTAGCCTTCCATTCTTGATAGCCCTCACTACTAGGCTTTGGGCCCACCTCGCAGCCTAGGCAAAAGTTGGAAAGAACGACGTAGTCCAACACGTAGCCACTAAATAATTCGATAACTGTGTCCACGCCGATGTGGGAAGAATGGCCT